TGCTTCTAGAGGACCCGGATTCAATTCCCTGTGCCCACACGGCAGCTCACAACTGTCCGTAGCTCCCAAGAGCTGACACCCTCACACAGACATACACGCAGGCAGAATACCAATGCACTAAAATAAAAAAATCAATAAGTATTATGTAGCTGAAGGTGACTTCGAACTCCTGATCCTCCTGTCTTCACCTCCCAGATTCTGGGATTACAGGCTTGTACTCTACCATGCCAGCTAACTTCTTGGGTTTGATTTTGCTTTTTTAAGAGACTCACTCACCTTGTAGAAGACCTCCATGTTGTAATTTAACATGCAGCTCCATCTCTGGCATTTCCTGCAATTGGTAGTCAAGATTTTAGAGAGTTAGCCAGATGTGGTAGCAGAGGCCTTTAATCCCAACACTCTGGAGTCAGAGGCAATCAGTCCCAAGGCCAACCAAACCTATAAAAGTGAGACCTCACTCAGGATGGTTTCTTCTAGTGCCATCCATTTGCCTACAGATTCCAAGATTCCATTCCCCCCCCCCGCTGAATAGTACTCCATTGTGTAAATGTACGACATTTTCTCTATCCACTCTTCAGTTGAGGGGCATCTAGGTTGCTTCCAGGTTCTGACTATTACAAACAATGACAGACTTTGGAGATCCCCCTTGAAGGGCCTCACCCTCCCTGGAAAGTGGAGTGGGGTTTGGGTGGGGGGTTGGGAGTGTCAAGGGGGGTGGGGGAGGAGGGGAGGGAAAGGGAGCTGGGATTGCCATGTGAAGCAAGCTTGTTTCTAATTTAAATTAAAAAAAATTTACCTCCAAAGCCACAGAGAAACCCTGTCTCAAAAAAAAAAAAACAAAAAAAAATTTTAAAAACGAGAAGGTGGATTTCCAGCACTCAAAAAAAAAAAAAAAGTGAGACACTGGAGCAGCGGCCCGCCTTTAGGAGTACTTTTGCTCTTACAGAAGACCTGAGATTGGTTCCCAGCACTGTGGCTCATAACCATCCATAACTGCAGTTACAGGGAACCCACACCCCTTCTGGTCTCTGCAGACACTAGCGTGTACTTGGTGCACATTTTTGTATTGCAAATTTATGTAGACTTTTTTTGTTTTTATTTAAATGTTTTTAAGTTTTTAAAAATTTGAATTTAAAAATCCCAAATGAACTTGGGAGATAGTTTATGCTTACTTTGGGCATTGGAAAACTGAACAAGACAGGTTCTCATGTAAGCCAGGCTGGCCTCAAATTTGCTCTATAGCCAGGATAAAGTTGAACTCCTAGTTCTCCTGACTCCACCTCCCAAGGGCTGAGATTACAAATGTTTGCCATAATTTTTAACTTATATTTACTTACAAAGCCTGAAACTTAAGGACCCTACGTAGACAAACATTTCTTTCCTGCCAACCAGTTCCCAAATAACCACACAGAGACTTACTACTAATTATAAATGCTCAGCCAATAGCTCAGGCTGGTTACTAGTTAACTCTTACATTTCAAATTAACCCATATTTCCTATGCAACATGGCTTGGTATCTTTTCTCAGTACAGCAAGTAGATCTCCTGCTTCCTCTCCATCTCCTCAAGACTCCTCCTCCTCCTCCTCTTCCTCGAAATCTTTTTTTGTCTGCCAGTCTCGCCTAACTTCTGTATGTCCAGCTATTGGTCAGTCAGCATCTTTATTAAACCAATCCCAGTAATATATATTGGCACAGTGTAAAGGAACATTCCACAACCCCAAAAGAAAACAGACACAGACTGGAGCTTCTACGCTTTCGGGGTCTGCCATCTGCCTTCCCCCCGCCCCTCCCCTTTTTCAAGACTAAGGTTCTCTGTATAGTCCTAACTGTTCTGGAATTCATTCTGGCTGGCCTTGAATTCAGAGATCCACCAGCCTCTGTCTCCTGAGTGCTAGGGTTAAAGACTTGGGCCACCACTGCCCAACCATCTGCCGTCTTCCTAATGCTTTAACGTGGCCTCAATCTTGGATCCCACCCAAGGGCTATCTAGTTACATAATAAGGTGCTTGATCATCAACCATAAGTGATTCCATCGCCCCCGTCCCTAGAAGCTCAACCTTTTCTTCATGCCTTGGTCTTTTTGTCTTTCAACCTAATCTGGGGGCCCCAACATCTCATTAGCAAATACAGAACACTGTCTATCGCTCTGATGCTTCAAAGAACTTTAGCAAGTGGAGGCAGAACGTCTGGGACCTTCCTTCATTCAAGCAGAAATATTCATGGGTTTTGTTTGAGGCGGGGTCTCTCGGTATAGCCTTGGCTATCCTTGAAATCAAGATCCTCTAGCCTCAGCCTCCGAAAAGGTTTACAGATGTGCGCTTTTGACTTGGCTTAAAGCTCCGTGGGGTGCATTTACTTTCTAACATTGACTTAAAGCGTCAATTGTAAGCCTGGTCTGGTGATGCATGCCACCAATCGCAGTAGTCAGCAGGAATCACAAGTTCTAGAGAGGCCAGAGCTATGTGGCAAGGCCCTGTCTGAGGGACAAAAGAGGTGTGGGTGGGGTGGGGCTAAAAAAGTAAATCCTAAATTATCAGAGATTTAATACAGGGAAAGATTCGGGTTGGCACGCAGTTGAGGATTTCAGCCACAAGATGGCAGAAGAGTGCTACCAAACAAGTTTTGCGCAGCCTTCAACCACACCCAGCAACTTTCTGTTCATTTGTTTGCTTGCTCGCTCTTGGGCTCTTATTTTTTGAGACAGGGTCAAGCTGTGTAACTCTGGCTGACCTGGACCCCACACTGTAGGCCAGGCTGGCCTTGAACCCGAGAGATCCGCCTGCCTCTGCCTACCCAGTCCTGGGATTAAAGGTGTGCGCCGCCACTGCCCACCTTGTTTTTTGGATGTTTAGTTTTATGTGTATGGATGTTTTTCCTGCATGCCTATTGTGATGACTTGAGTGAGGCCATGAGCATAAGGAAAAGCTCACATTGTAGTACATTTTGCAGGGTCGAAGGATGGAGACACAGTCCTATGTAGCCCAGGGTAGCCTCAAATGTGAAATCCTCCTGTCTCAGCCTGAGTCCTAGGAGTGCCCTTATGCTGTTTTTTCCCTCTGCAGCACTAGAGATTGAACCCAGGGCTTTTCACAAGCTAGGCAAGAGATGGATCCCTGAGCCAAAACCCAAGCCCCTTATTGGTGGAGTCTAGATAGACAACACCCTCGCAACTCAGTACTCTTTCATTTCTGGGCTCTGTGTATGCATTGATGGATATTTACATGTGTGTATGCATGGGTGCATATATATTTTAAGATTTATTTATTATGTATACAGTGTTCTGCCTGCATGTATGCTTGTACACCAGCAGAGGGCACCAGATCTCACTACAGATGGTTGTCAGCCACCATGTGGTTGCTGGGAATTGAACTCAGAGCCTCTGGAGGAGCAGCCAGTGCTCTTAACCGCTGAGCCATCCCTCCAGCCCCATGGGTGCATATTTCTGTGTGTGGGTATGCGCATGAGACAGACATACGGTGTTGTGTGTATTCGCACACGGGTAAATCTGAACTAAATGCAAATGCATTTGACTCCAGCTCCACGGTTTTTTCATTGTGAGCTGAGGTGTGGCTTGCCTAGCACAAGCTAGGTTCCAGGGTTGACCCTGCACATGGCAGATACAGAGTTCCCACTAGAAACAATGGCTTTTGTTGGATTTTCCCAAAATTGCATTACTAGTTTCTTCTACTTTCTTCTCTTCCTCCTCTTCGTGTGCTTTTTCAGACAATGCCTCAGGTAGCTCAAGCTAGCCTGGAACTTTCTGTACCCAAAGCTAGCCTTGACTACCTGCTCCTCCTAACTCCACCAACCAAGTGTATTTCTTTTTACTGGATTTTAATAAGTTTACGATTTATATATGATGGGAGGGTCACAAATGCCCCGGTAGACAAGCTTGCAGAGTTGAGCAACGAGTATGCTTGCCCACAGAGTTGGCAGGCCAGCCTGTCTTTTTTCTTAACTGTGCTAACTGAATTATGCCCTGAACTCAACTTCATTGCCTCAATAACCCTCTGACAATAGAGACAAAAAGGCAGCAGCAAAAGCAATAGTACCTGTTCTCTAGCAGTTAGACCGCGTAACCTATGGTCTCGCATCCACAATTAAGTTCTAACTCCTAATGGCCCCTGGTGCCTCACCCAAAGGCCGGTCTTAAAGAATGACAAAACAGTGGGCTGCCCCTTTGACCTCTCTTCAGGCTGGGTTGCACACAAAAGGCCTAGGAAGCTTAACTTTAGCCACAAAGGAATCACATTTTTTCTCTCAAGAGAACTCCCTGTCTCCCCCTTCCCTCCTTCCCTCCCTCTCCCCTGCCCCTCAGTCTGCTCTTGGGTTTCTGTCCAGTCTCTGTTCTTCTTTGTTTTAGGTGTTTTTGTTTTTTCCAGACAGAATGTCTCTGTGGAGCCCTGGTTGTCCTGGAACTTGCTTTGTAGACCAGGTTGGCCTCGAACTCACAGAGATCCACCTGCCTTTGCCCCCCCCATCAACACCACCCCGTGTGCTGGTATTAAAGGTGCTTGCCACCACCGATATTCTTTATCATTTATTTTTTAGGTGCATTGGTGTTTTGCATTACAGGTATGACTCTGTAAGGGTGTTGAATCCCCTGGAACTGCAGGGAGGCTATCTGTGAGCTGCCATGTGGGTGCTGGGAATTGAACCCAGGACCTCTGGAAAAGCAGCTAGTGATCCTAACCACTGAGCCATCTCTCCAGACCCACCTCCCACTAGCTCTTGTAGACCAAGCTGGTCTCGAACTCACAGAGATCCGCCTGCCTCTACCTCCCAAGTGCTGGGATTAAAGGCGTGCGCCACCACCGCCCGGCTTGTTATTATTGTTATACCTTAAATCTATTCTGGCCGTGTAAATAATTTTATCCCAGTGGCTCCCTGTTTTTCCTAAGGACACTGGGGAAGATCTCGACTTGGCCCTCAGGAAACAAACGCGGAAACTAAGGCTCCGAGGTGCGAGTTGCAAGCACTCATTCTGTGGACAGAGGAGGAGTTAGTTTACCTCTGCCCTCACTGACTCCCAGGTACCCTTAGGTGGAGGCCGGGGAATGGCGCGTCCCCTGAGCCACCATCACTGCAAAAATCAACCGGAACGCCGAAACAGAGGATCACTGGCAGGTTGGAACACCTTCCCTCTGAGCCTATTGGACAAACCTGATTTAGCCACGCCCCCAGCTGTCAGGCCCGACGCAGCGGGTGCGGCTTGGGATTCCCTCTAGGATAAAGTGTCGCGTGTCCTTGGGCAGAGAGGGGAGGTGACTGGAGCTACCGAGGACGCAAAATGAGGGCCTTGCGGGTGAGGCCCCCCACGGGCTGTGTCGGGGGAGGGGAACCCCATAACCCAGATGTCCACCCTGAACATGTCAGGATCTGGAGTCCTGGGACATGCGCGCCCTTCCGAGTCTGGGACTCCCTGACAGCCTGGGGTTTGACCCTCCCTTTACCGAGTTCTCCCTTAACCTCCCTGGGAACCCTACTACCAAACCAGGATGTCTCGGGAAGCCTGGAAACTCTCATAGAACTTCCAAGTCAGTCTTGACATCCCTGGAACCCCCTCCTTTTTTTAAGTTTTCCTTTTTGACACAGGGTGTCATGTAGCCCAGGCTGACCTCTAACTTGATAGGCAGCTGGGTATCTTTGAACTCCTAATCCTCCTGCCTCTGCCTCCCAAGTGTGACACCTTCCCTCGTTTTTGTTGTTGTTGTTTTTGTTTGTTTTTGTTTTTTTGTTTTTTTTTTTTTTTGGTTTTTCGAGACAGGGTTTCTCTATATTGTTTTGGAGGCTGTCCTGGAACTCGCTCTTGTAGACCAGGCTGGCCTCGAACTCACAGAGATCCGCCTGCCTCTGCCTCCCGAGGGCTGGGATTAAAGGCGTGCGGTGGTGGCCACCACCGCCCGGCACCTTCCCTCATTCTTAAAAGGCTCACTGAATAGCCCAAGCCGGCCCTGACTCCTGGTCTCCCTGCTCACATGCCAGGATTACTCTTCCCCACTCTCGCTGGTGACTGGCGCCTTGCCTTAAAGATAAAGTCCCTGCATCCCTTCCTGCTGGACCCACTTGGAGGCAGCTCTCCAGGTGCCGCCAACCCACGCATCCCCTATCCCTCCAGGCCTCCCAGGCTTTGATTCGTTCCTTTAGCACATCTGCCCGAAGCCACTTAGAAAACCGTGTGGCGGAGAAGCAGAAACTCTTCCAGGTAGGGGGCAGGGGACGTCGTCTCTGGACCCAGGGTTGGTGGGGGTAGCATGGCACTTACAGGGGGCGGCAACCCTGTGGTCATCCTCACCCCTCACTCACATGCAGGCTGACAATGACCTCCCAGTTCACCTGAAGGGCGGAGGGATGGACAACGCCCTGTACAGACTGACTATGACCCTGTCGCTGGGGGGTGAGTGCTGGGGCCACCGGGTTGCTTGGGTTGCAGACTAGCCAGGATCTGGGTCACACTGCTTCACGAGAGGAGCAATGGGTTGCCTATTGCCCGGAGGAATCGGGGCTAGTGATGGGTCTGCCCACCCCACCCCAAAATAAGTCCCTGGCCTGGTCCTATCAAAACAGGTGCAGGTGGGGATTCCCCATGAGGGATCCAGTTTGTGAGGGAGTTGACAGCTGGCCTGGAGCTGTGACCCATGAGGGCTGGGGAACCTAAGGAGAGGCTTTTAGAGGCCCTGTGAGGGGCTGAGCAGGAACTGGGGTCTCATTTGCCATCCATCCCTTCCTAGGTACCGCTTACTGCTTATACTGCCTGGGCTGGGCCTCCTTCCCCCACAAGAAGTAACGCCAAGAGTCTTGGAGGGCCCGGACAAACATCAATAAACACACCAACCTCTTGAGAACCCCACTTGACTCTGGCCGCTATGTCTGTGTCCCAACCCACCTTCCTGTCATCCGGGGATGTCTACCCGGTGGAAAGCACCTTACCCCAGCTCTTGGCCCCTCGTCCTGGACCAGTGCTATACCTAGGACAATCTGCTTTAGATGCCTGCCGGGGGCCCAAGGATCTAGCGTGGTGATGCTGAGTGAGGCAGAGATATTATAATCCGGAACAGCATCCCCTTCTCTTCAAAGGGTAGGAATGGTCCTGGGCTGGTTCCAGGACAGACAGGGCTATAAACAGAGAGACAGACCCAAGACTGAAGCTTGATGGTGATGTAGCTGAGTGGAAGAGCATGGAATCCGTGTGTGTGTGTGTGTGTGTGTGTGTGTGTGTGTGTGTGTGTGTGTGTGTCTGTGTGTCTGTGTGTGTCTGTGTGTGTGTGTGTCTGTGTGTGTGTGTGTCTGTGTGTGTGTGTGTTACAGCACTTGCCTAGCATGTGCAAAGTCCTGGGTTCCATACTCTGCACCAATCAGCAGACTCAAAAGATGGAAACTCAGAGAGTTAACAAACGTGGCTCCAGGGTCCCTGGTACTTTGTAACAGCTCAGAAGTTTTGGAAGCTACAAGGGATTCTGGGGATTGCGAGTCCCGCTCCTGAGCCTGCAAAGGGACCCAGGAGAAGCCTCAGCAAAGCCAGGCTAAGTCTCAATTTAGAACAGTATGAGAAAAAAAAAAGATGCAGAGCAGGAAATACGCATGTCCAGTCCCCAAGGTAAGTACCCCAACCACTCTTGGGGCTAGAGAGATGGTACTTTGCTGCTATTGCAGAGGATCTGGGCTCAGTTCCCAGCATCCCCCTGGTGGCTCACAACCCCTTTATACCTCTAGATCCAGAGGCTGGCAAATGCATGGTGCACATGTGTACATGCACATTATATACATACACATTAAATAAACAAATACCCAAGGCCCCCCACGCCGTAAAGACTTCCTCCTCCCCGGACTCTGAGCCACCTCTCAACACTCAGGAGGCAGAGCCCATAGGAAACGGCGGGTGGGCTGACAGCCGGGGAAACAGCGCAGGCAGAGGCACTGGGGTGTGTGGGCCTGCCATGGCCCCGAGTTTATTTGGCTGCCTGGGAGGGTAACCGAATGAGTGTGTAACAGGGTGTGGGGTGTGTAGGGACGGGCCTGATCCTCCCAGCGCTGAGATAGAGCCCTGAGGCCATGGAAGCATCAGGAGCGTTAGGCTTGGCACACAGACGGGATGGAGGTAACGGAGGGTGTGGGAATAGGTGTGCTGGGGGTGGGGTGACCCTCCAGCAGAGAGAGCAAGCTAGCTTGTCTTAGAGCCAGGGGTAACTCAGGGCATGGCAAGCCGGGGCATGTTGAGCTCTGGCTGCTGCCTGGGAAGCTGGGTACCAGACAGGGAGGAGAAAGTCCTGTGGGTGGGTGACTATAAAAACCAGGGCTGCAGACAGGAACCGGATTCCAGGTGGTGGTTCCGTAGAGCACTGTGGCGAGGCAGCTCTGTGATCCCCGCTCAGGAGTACATAGTCAGCTGCAGCCACTGGAACAGGAAGGCACAGGTGAACACAGAACCCTGGAGAAGCAGACTCCTCACCCAGGGCCTGCTGGGCACACGGCACGGGAGGGGCTGGAGCTTGCAGCTTGGATACCCACACCCAAGAGAAGCGGCCTTACCTCCTGGATGTTCACTTGGATCTGTCCAGTGCCGTTTTTGTCGAGAGATTTGAAAGCACCTAGAGGTGAAAGGAAGGGAGGAGTCGGATGCTTTTAGGATAACGATACACCTGCCTAGTTATTGTTTCCATTATTGTTGTTTTGTTTTTAGACAAGCTCTCACTAAGCAGCCTATGACTGGCCTCAAAGTCCTGGAGATGTGCCTGCTTCTGCCTCCAGAGTGCTGGGGCTGAGAGTGTGTGCCACCCTGGTGGGTATAGGCTAACGATGTTGTGATGATGATAATGATGATGATACAGTTAACCCTTCATTCAACTTTTTTTCCCTGTGCCGAGCAAGCACTGTACAAAGGACTTCAAAGGCACCTGTGGTGGCACACACTGCGATCCCAGCACTCTGTTGCTCTGTTGGCTGTAGAAAAGGAAGGTCCTGGGTTCAATATTATTCTTAGCTACATATGAGAGTTCAAGGCCAGCCAGGTTACATGAGATTCTATCATCATCATCATCATCATCATAGCTGGGCAGTGGTGGCACACGCCTATAGTCCCAACACTCAGGAGGCATAAATCTCTGTGAGTTCGAGACCAGCCTGGTCTACAGAAGGAGTGACAGGATAGGCTCCAAAGCTACATAGAGAAACCCTGCCTCAAAAAAACCAAAATAATAGTAATAATAGAGGATTAAATCAATAAAATATCTAACTGTGTAGGCATGTGACATTTTTGAATGAGGCACAGAATTAGGATATTATATAACACAATGATAGAGTACTTGCCTATCCTGCTTGAGCCTCTCCAGGCTCAATCCCTGACTCCTCAATAAGTAAGCAAATAAAGCTGCAGCTCACACAAGACAGAACAGAAAATTGGATCAGAATGCAGGTCTATCCTCCCCAACACCTATGCTACACCCTCTCCAGTTTGCAACCCAAACAGGCTCCTAGAAGGAGGTAACTTGGCAATCTGTTTCTGGGCGCTAGAGTCTGGTGTGGTCCTCACTCCTGCCCGGGAACTTGACCCGGATGTTTCCCATCCACAGCCAAACCAAGCCAAGGCTGCCTACACTAACCAGGGCTGGGTCTTCAGGTGGCCACATAGAATCCTCGATGCCACTGGTGCTCCATAGGCCAGGGGCCCAGGGGACATTTCCCCCTGGAACGTCTTACCTTCCTGCCTCTACCTCCTGAGCGCTGGGATTTCAGGTTAACGGATGCACGGCATCAAACCCAGGACTTCATGCAATCTTAGACAAGTACTCTACCAACAACACTATCTCCTAACCCTTTTAACTAAGTAACCAATTGGGCTGGAGAGATGGCTCAGAGGTTAAGAGCACTGGCTGTTCTTCTGGAGGTCCTGAGTTCAATTCCCAGCAACCACGTGGTGGCTCACAATCACCTGTAACAAGATGTGGTACCCTCTTCTGGCTTGTAGACAGAACACCATATAATTAATAATAAATAAAATCTTTTTAAAAAACTAAGTAACCGCCGGGCGTTGGTGGCGCACGCCTTTAATCCCAGCACTTGGGAGGCAGAGGCAGGCGGATCTCTGTGAGTTCGAGGCCAGCCTGGTCTACAAGAGCTAGTTCCAGGACAGCCTCCAAAGCCACAGAGAAACCCTGTCTCGAAAAACCAAAAAAAAAAAAAACTAAGTGACCAATTAATTAATGTGGGTTTGAAATAGATCTCACAAAGCCAGGCTTGCCTCAAATTTGCCATGTAGTCAAGGATGACCTTGAACTCCTGACCGTCTTCTTGCCTCAGCTTCCTAAGTGCCAGGGTCATGGTGAACCACCACACCCAACTCCTCCACCACACCCAACTCCACACCACTACAAAGCTGACCCAGCCCCTCCCTTGCCTAGAGTCTGCCCTGGCTCTTCAATGCCCAGCACAGTTTGAGTACCCCTGAACTTGGCATTCACAGCACTGCATAGCATTCCACGCCCATCATTCCTGTCTCTTCTCATCGCTCGACTTAGCTCTCAGACAAGCACAAAGTCAAATTCGGACTTTCCAACTTCCTGGCTGAGTGACTAAGAGCAAGCACTTTGCCTGAACCTACCGTCCTCCACCATAAGAAGGGCGAGAGAGTTTTAGGACTCTTACATCAAATCCTTATAAAAAGCTCTCACTGCAGGCATGAAGATTAGAAGCTCAAGGTCACCCTCAGCTACAAATTAGGTCTGAAATCAACCTGAGCTACATGAAAACCTATCTCAAAAACCAAGCAAGATGGGGATGGAGAGATGGCTCGTAAATTAAGAGCACTGGCTGCTCTGTCAGAGGGCCTGGGTTCAATCCCCAGTATCTACATGGTGACTCACAACCATCTGGAACTCCAATTATAGGGATCAGACATTAGGACAGACATATATACTATACAGGCAAAACACTAATATACATAAAATAAAATTTTAAAAACAGATCAGAATCAAGGCCAGCCTGGTCTACAGAGCGAGTTCCAGGACAGCCTCCAAAACAATACAGAGAAACCCTGTCTAGAAAAACAAAACAAAACAACAACAAAAAAAACAATTAAAAAATAAAAAACAGGTCAGAAAGAAAGCAAGCCAGCCTAGGCACGGTAGCATACGCCTTTAACCCCAGCACTCAGGAGGCAAAGGCAGGTGGATCCCTGTAGGTTTGTTTGAGGCCAGCCTTGTCTCAGAGTAAATTCCAGGACAGCCAGGGCTACAGAGAGACCCTGTCTCGAAAAACCAGAAGAGAGAGAGGGACAGGAGAGAGAGAGAGAGAGAGAGAGAGAGAGAGAGAGAGAGAGAGAGAGAGAGAGAGAGAGAGAGAGAAAACCAACTCAGTTGTCCTCTGACCTCTATATGTAAATACAAATTAATAGATAAACCTTAAGACAACAACAGAAGTGCCACCTTCCCTCTCCCTTTAGGGTTTCACAGACTGTCCCCTTGGCTGGCAACCCCTCCCTTGCTCCCTCTAGATCAATCTTCCTCATGCCTAGAGGCTGAGTTCACACTTGCCTTCCTCCAGGCAGCCCTCCTAATCCCCTGGGCTGAGTCAGCTGTCCCCTTGATCCTCCTGAGCATCCCCTCCCAGCCCAGATGGCTCTCACTAACCTAGCCCATCCCACCCCTGCGGGTCTCGGATGTGGCTGCCTGGTGACCCCAGCATTCACTGTTCATGTTAAAGTCAAGCCTAGAGGAGACCTTGGCAAATGAAGGCTGGCAAATCCCCAGCCTCGTAGGGATCTAGAGAAGTCACTCACGGAACATGGCGTCCAGCCTGACCAGGCAGCTGATGAAGTTATCGAAGTCCATGTTACCATTCTCGTCCGAGTAGCGCCGGATGATCATGTTGTAGAGATGCTCGTTCAGGTGGAACCCTGGGAACGGCTCAGTCTCAGGGTGGGGGGGGCACAGTCCTTCTCCATCCCCAACACAGCGGTGTGGCTTCATTCTCCCCACCTCTGCCCATCACAGCCCTGCCAGCCCACCTGCTGCCTCAAAGGCCCCTGGGAGTTCATTGCGGCTGATGGTCCCCGATCGGTCAACATCAAAGCGTTTGTATATAGCCTGTAGGAAAGGGAAGACACACAGTTCAGCCAAGCATCGTGGAACCTGGTGTCCCCATGGCTTGGGGATCTGGATGCTGGGAGTTTCAGAGGCTACCACACACCTGCCACTTTTTAATGTTGTTCCAGAGGTACTTGAATTCCTCAAAGCCAAGCTTGCCTGTGGTGTCACTCTGGCAAGAAGTTGTTAAGGACAATGTGACAAAATACAATGGTGTATGTGTGTGTGGTAATGCCATAGTGAAACCTACTATTAAGCTGGGTGGTGGTGGTGCACGCCGTTAGTCCCAGCACTTGGGAGGCAGAGGCAGGTGGATCTCTGTGAGTTCGAGGCCAGCTTGGTCTACAGAGCGAGTTCCAGGACAGCCTCCAAAGCCACAGAGAACCCCTGTCTTGAAAAACACTGCTCTAAAAAAGAAGCCTATTATTGTTTTATAGGCTAACTTTTAAAAAAATTAATAAAAGTAAAATAAGCTTGGAGGGCTGGAGAGATGGCTCAGCAGTCAGGAGCACTGACTGTTCTTGAAGAGGACTTGGGTTTGGTTCCCAGAACCCAAATCATGTAGCTCACAATCACCTGTAATTGAAGCTCCAGGGGACCCGATGCCCTCAGCCTCTGAGGACACCTGCATGCTCGTGTGCGCACACACACACACACACACACACACACACACACACACACACACACACACACGCCGTCAGGCATAGTAGCACATGCCTGTAATTCTAGCACTTGAGAGGCAACAGGAAGATCAGGAGTTCAAGATCAACTTTGGCTACATACTGAATTCAAGGCTAGCCTAGGCTACCTGAGACCCATCTCAAGAATCCAAACCTACAGTACAATAAAAAAAGCTGGGCGTGGTGGTACAAGCTATAGTCCTAGTACTCAGCTGAGGCAGGAGGCTTGACCCAGTTCAAGGTCAGTCTGGGCTATTTAGCAAGACCCTGTCTATATATAAATAAATCAGCAAGCTGGGGACATAGCTTGAGGTAGAGTCCCTGCTTACCACAGATGAGACCTTGCTTAATCCCAAGTCTCCCTCTCCCTATCCATCTCCCTGTCTCCCCCACCTCCACCTCCCTCCCTTCCTCCCTCTCTCTCTGCCTCCCCTCCCTCTCTCTCTCTCTCTCTCTCTCTCTCTCTCTCTCTCTCTCTCTCTCTCTCTCTCTCTCTCACACACACACACACACACACTACACAATGTAATAATTAACTCAGATGCTATATTCTATGTACTAGGTACATGACAGCAATCCTGGGAATCGGGGCAAACAGACAACTCCCATTCAACACTATAGTCATGTCACCCAGGGTATGGTTTAATTCATTTATTTAACAAAAGACTTTGATCCCAACACTCAGAAGGCAATGGCAAGATCTAACTAAGTCCAAGGCCAGCCTGATCTACATAGTAAATTCCAGGCCAGCCAGGGTTATACTGTGAGACCCTATCTTAAAAAATAAAAATAAAATAAAATGTGTTTTAACTCTTTTTGGGGGGGGGTTTGAGACATGATTTCTCTGTGTAACAGTCTAGGGTCTCCTGGAACTTACTTTGTAGATCAAGCTGTTCTCAAACTCACAGAGATCCTCCTGTCTCTGCCTACCAGTTCCTGGGATTAAAGGCATGCACCACAACCACCCAGATGAAATCTGTTTTCTTGATACAGGATCTTACACTGCAATCCCAGCATTCAGGAAGCAGAGCAGAAGCATTGAGTTTCATGATTAGCGTGACATCTACAGCAAGACCCTATCTCAAAACCAAGGTTGGGCTGGGTATGGTGGTGCAGGCCCTCGATCCCAGCACGCAGGAAGCAGAAACAGACAGATCTCGGTGCTTCAAAAATCATCTGGTCTACACAGCAAGTTCCAGGCCAGCCAGAGTCTTGAGTGTGGAGGGCGGGGCTAAGATGAACCCTTGGGTAAAGTGTGCTACATGTGCATGCACTCATGATTGGCTAACAACTAACACATGTGCAAATGTTCACGCGTGTCCCTACATACAATCTTCCATATTACACACCTGTAAGGTATGCTCTTGGGTATGTATATAAATATGTGTGCATATGTACCATGCACGTATTTGTGCCCATTGGTATATGTATAAATATGACTGGTAGAAATTTAGATACTTGGAGCTGGAGAGATGGCTCAGTGGTTAAGAGCACGGGTTGCTCTGGCAGAGGACCTGGGTTCAATTCCCAGCACCCACACGGCAGCTCACGGCTGTCTAACCCTAGTTCTGAGAGGCCACATAATGCACATACTGCATTCAGGCAAAACACTCATACACAGGAAAATAAGCACACCTTTAAAAATTGTTAGCCAGATCTCTGAGTTCGAGACCAGCCTGGTCTACAAGAACTAGTTCAAGGACAGCCTCCAAAGTTACAGAGAAACCCTGTCTCGAAAAAGCAAAAAAAAAAAAAGAAAGAAAAAGAAAAAAAAATTAGCCAGAACTGGGTGGTGGCAGGAGCAGCAGCTGCCTCAGCGCATGCCTTTCGTATCTCTGTGAGTTCGAGGCCAGCCTGGTCTACAGAGTGAGTTCCAGGACAAGCTCCAAAGCCACAGAGGAACCCTGTCTTGAAAAAAAAAATTGCTAGCCAGGAGGTGGTGGTGCATGCCTTTAATCCCCACATTCAGAGATGCCATAACAGTCAGAGCTAGGCAGAGACACTCTGCCTCAAAAAAAAAAAATAAATAAATACAAAAATTCTTTTAAAGTAAATACATAAACAACAAGCTTAGATTCTCAAGCTGGAAGCTCCCAAGTCCGAATTCCTATCCTGCTCTTTATTCTTCAGATGACTGCTTCTGCTATCCGAGTCCCAACTAGCCCCAAACCTGATTAGCTTCCAAGATGAAGCGTCAGGTTAATTCCGGGTGGTTTGGCCAGAGACAAACCACTGTGACTCTCTGAGCCTGTTTCTTTCCTGGGAAGGTGTCCCTGTCTAGCAAGGTGTCTGTAAAGGCTGGGTCCATTAACCTAGGTGAGGCTGGCTGTCCTCAACGCACTCCCAGAAAACACCCCTCTTCGTTGGGTGATGGAGGCGGTGGTGGTGGCCACAGCAGCAATGGCGTTGGTGGCGCACGCCTTTAATCCCAGCACTGGGGAGGCAGAGGCAGGTGGATCTCTGTGAGCTTGAGACCAACTTGGTCTACAAAACCCAAAAAGAAATAGAGGGAGAGGAGAGAGAGAAGAAAGAATGCAAGGAAGGAAGAAAGGAAGGGAGGGAGGGAGGGAGGGAGGGAAGGAAGGAAGGAAGGAAGGAAGGAAGGAAGGAAGGAAGGAAGGAAGGAAGGAAGGAAGGAAGGAAGGAAGGGAAACTCTTCACCCAAGACCTCCTCTAGACTGGCCCCAAAAGGATACGTCCATCACAGCCACCATGCTTCGGCAAGTGTCAATGCCAAAACCATCAGTTTTCAGATCTGGGTCTGGAGGTGGGGGGGGGAGACAGGTCGAAGGTCAGAGGTCAGAGATCATAGTCATCCCAGTTCATAAAACCTCTAACCCTTCCTTCCCCACACCCTGGATCCTGTTCACTCACGTCGGGTCACGACCTTGTTGAGGATATTCATGAGTTCGGTGGCGCTGACCTCCATGTCCTGAAGGCAGAAAGGTAAGCACCGTTCAGGGAGGTGGGAAGATTCGGATAGCGTAAAAGAGGACGCGGGGCTTCGGGGCTGTCGCGGTCGAGTGGGGCCATACTTACGTCTCCAGCCAGCTGGGCAAAAAGTCTCCGGAACTGCCGGACCTCCTCACTCTCATTGGCCTCAGTGTTAGAGAAATGGCTACGTGGGGGCTGTGGAGAGAGCAGATCTCAGGACAGACACGGAGAAGCGTGCCTCTCCTCACACCCAGATGTCCCAGGGAAAAGTCAGAGAGGGCGGTCTGAGGGCCAGGGAACCTGGCGAGTGCGGCTTGTAGAAGGACTGAGACCCAGGGCTTCAAAAAGGGCATTTAATGGCAGGGAATTTCCTAAGCTAGGAAGGGGAGCCTTCTCTGTAGGATGCGGATGGTGATGGGGATGATGGTGGTGGTGGTGATGGCGATGCGGACAACAAGCCTCGGGTGCGAGGGTCCCTGGTGCCTAGGGCGGCTTACCGGGGGCTCCGGGTTGTACTGCGCAGCAGCCTCGCTGAGGGGAGACAAGGAGGGATTAGCGCATGGGGGGCGGAGCCTCCAACGGGCAGCAGAACCGTTAGCCCAGCCCCCCAAACTCCAGACCCCCTCTCCCTTAAGTGGTCCCTCCTCCCCTGCGTAGCCTGGTCCTCACCCGTCCCAACTTTCAGCAGTTAGGAGCTGCTGCTCCTCCTCCTCCTCCATCAGGCCAACCCCTCCCTCGGGCCCACCCCCCCCCCACGGAAGAATCCTTGCCTAGCTGAGGGACACCCACCAATCGCAGATGCCGGAGTCACCGTGGCCCCAATCAGTGTCCCTGAAACCCCACCGCCCGGCAGCGCCCGCCCCTTGAAGAACTCACTTCTTAAGGGGTCCTGCGCGGCCACTTCCCTAAGCCCCATCTTCCCCGGGTCCCTGAGCAGAGAGATCTGCACCATGTCCCCTGTTCCCCGACCGTTTAACTCCCTACCTTCCTACCCCAGCTCCATCAGTGCCCACTCCTCCGAGGGATCACACTGCCGGGTGACCAGCATGACCAGGTGCCACCCCCACTGAGGGATTTTACCCAGTTTCCGGTCCCACACAATCCTCCACGGATTGTCTCTTCTTAGTAGGCTCTGGTCATCCCTGGGCCAGCAAATCCCCTCCAACTGCAGGCCCCACCTCTGCCAGGCCCTGGGCCGTGCCTGGCCCTCAGACCCCCTGCCTCCGCCCCTGCGATGGATCCAGCCCTGCTGAGTCCTCCCCAAACCCAGAGGCGTCTCCCCTAGAGACTGCGTCCCCTTCGTTGACCCACAGAAGCAGGTCCCCACCCATGTCAAGTGCTTGCCCCGGGAGTGGCACCAGCCTCAGTAGGGTTCCCCTGGGCTCGGCTTTCCGGTCCAGGCCGGCCCGGTCCTAACTTGGGTTCCCGAGTCCCGTTATTCCGGGGGCAGCCCGCCCCTCCGGGAGGCCTCACCTGATGGCGCTAATGACTCCGCCCAGGATGCGCATGGCAGTCCCACCGCCGCCGCCGCCGCCTCCCATCCCCACGCCGCCGCCGCCGCCGCCGCCGCCCGTAGCTCCGCTGATCAGGCCGCCCAGCACATTCCCCAGGCCGCCGCCCAGACCCCCTCCTCCCCCGCCGCCGCCGCCGCCGCCCTTCAAGAACGAGTTAACCAGGAACATGACCGCAACTACTGCGTCCTGCGGAGAAAGGAAAAAAGGGGTGGGTCAGGTCGTCACCTCGTCCGGAGCCCGGCCCTACCCGGAAAAAAAAGAAAAAGAAAAAGAAAAGAAAGCATTTCCGGCAGCTAGACTGGGGACCTGAGGCTGGGGACGGGGCCGGAGCCTCGGGCTTAGGGGTCTGGACAGGTGACAGCGGGCGTCCTAGGATGCAGGGACAGGAGCCGGCCAGGGGGTCCTGAGAGTACCCTGGCCCGTGGGTAGGTACAGCTGGGCGTGGTGGCACGCAAGTCATCCCAAAGTTTAGAGGCCGAGGCTGGAGACTCAGCTCAGGGCCAGCCTCGGCTGCTGAGCCAGCCTGGGCTATGCGGGGCCCTGTCTCAGGGAAGCAGGGAAGCAGGGCTACAGGTCGGGTGGGACTCTCCAAATGCGGGATTCTACAAATGGGGGCCACCCCCCGCAGTTTGTGTAAAACGCACCAGACGTGTCCCAGATCAAGGCCCCCCAGAACTGAGCTTAGGGTTCGGGGCGCAGCCTGGGCCCCAGGACCGAGTTCAGGAAGTCCCTAAAGCGGGTTGGGACAGGGGGACTGCAAAGGGGGCTCCGGCCTAAGATCGGGGCTGTGTGCCCCGGAAGCTCCCGGATAGCGGAGTTCCTCCCGCTGCAAACGGGGATCAGAACCTCGGGCGGTGCTTCTGGGCGCCCCAAATCATTTTCGGGGTGCCCCTCGGGTCTTTGGGCTGGTGCGTTTTTGGTAGCGAGGCCCGGGATGACACGGCGTGCCCGGGGGGGGGGGCGGCCAGAGTGTGACAGGCCCGCCCGGTGGTTCGGATCTGTGCGCACGAGTCCCAGCACCCCAAGGGCCGCGAATCTGGGGTCTCGCCGGGCCTGAAGACTGCCGAATCCGGGGCGCAGGGGTGCTCACTTACGGTTCCGGCGGTCCACGATCGCTCCCTCCTGCTCTGGGGCCTCCCGCGGTGTCCGGCTCCGGAGGGCGGGGCGGGTGACTCAGGCGGCTCCCCCGGGTTAGAGCCTGTGCGCCACCCAGCCGCCTTCCGCGCGGTCCTAGAGCCGCCATTGCAGACTGCGCCTGCGCGCGAGGGCCCCGCCCCACGTAGCGGGGTTCCGGGTGTGTGCCTCTGCCTGGCTAATCCGCCCCTATAAAAACTCTGCCCGAAGTCCAAGGCGGTCCAGACTTCATTCCTACGAGTACTAGCAAACCACTCTACACCCAGGGACTGGAACGACGAGGGAACTAGAATTTCGGTTCAGGTCTTCTCCAAAAGGGACTTCGATTTTTATTGTCATTCGTTCATTCATTCATTCTGCACTTTGAGGCAAGTTTGTTATATATCCCAAACTGACCTTGAACTCGCCCTAATGCCTTGTTTGACCTCGAGCTTTAAGCAATCCTCCTGCCTCTGCTTCCCAGATGCTAGGATTACAGGTATCCGCTGCCATAAACACACTGTTGGGGAATCTTTAGTTGGCCATCAGTTCTTGCCTGAAACCCACGTCCATTTTTGGCATCTAGACAGTCTGGCTGTCTGGCCCTTGGCCACCCCTCAAACCTCAGTTTGAATCTTTATTCCCCATTCCTAAAACAATGACCCGTCTGTGAGCAATGGTTTCATCTGTAAAATGGGAACATAGCCAGTGATGATGACACGTACCTGTAACACCAGCACTCGGTAGGTGGGGACAGGAGGCCATTCTCAGAATGTATCAAGTTTGTGGCCCTCTTGGACTATATTAGATCCTGCCTCAAAAGGGGAGAAAGACAGCCTGGTGGTGGTGCGCACCTTTAATCCTAGCTCTTGGGAGGCAAGAGCAGGCAGATCTCCGAATTCAAGGTCAGGCTGGTCAACAGAGTGATTTCCAGGACAGCCTGGGCTACACAGAGAAACCTTGTCTTGAAGAAAAAAAATGGGAGGGGGGAGGAAGTTAGACATAGGCTCCCCCTGGGAAGGCCCCTATCAGAATTACGTGATTAAATACATAGTAAATGGGAGAGGGGAGGAAGTTAGACATAGACTCCCCCTGGGAAGGCCCCTATCAGAATTACGTGATTAAATACATAGTAAATGGGAGCTCTTATGTTAGTTTCTATGTCACCATACTGTTCCCTCAACTCGGAGCCCACTTGGATCTCTTAGCTCATGCTTAAACAATATAGACGGATAACGGCCAGTTCCCAAGTATTTTGCACATATCAGCTTACATGTCCTCATTGCAGCCCTGTGGGATAGATGCTGTTTATAATACCCATTCCACATATAAGTAAACTGAGGTTAAGTTTGGCCGACCAGTCTGCCTTCCCTGTTCCTTTTACTGTCACCCTTACTCAAAGCACCTCCAATAATTTAATTAGTACGATAATCACTCAAATAACAAGGCCACAGCAGACAAAAATTGTAGTTGTCCCTGACGTCACCTCGGGGCCTGTTGGGGCCAAGCCAGGCGAAGCCAGGCGATGGCTTCTCAAGCCTGTGTGTGGGAGGCAAGAAATAACATGAGCAAAACAGGAGGCGGTGACCCAGGTCTAAACCTGGGCTTAGCCAGTAAGTCATTTGCTGCTGACTAATGTGGGTTCCCTTCCTGCCACACCCCACTCCATGCCTTACTGAGCAGCTCAGCTCTGGGTCCCGACCTCAGGCTCCACTCCCTGGCAGACCTTTGCACAAGCCCTGTCCTCTTCCTTCAACACCCCTGTGCTGGGGTTTGCCTGCTTGCCGGTGTCCTCCGCTTTGGATGGGAGCTCAAGCGTCGCTCATTTAGGAAGTCCTCTTTGTCTTCACACCCATCCAAGGCCTGGTGAGGCCGCAGGCTTCATGCTCGCAGAACCTCCTGCAGTCTACATGATGTCTACAGCCCCAGGGTTCAGAAGGCTGAGGCACGTGAGCTGCGGCACAGGACCCCATCTCAAAACAACAGTTTAAAAAATGCTTTCAGGTCTGGAGCGATGGCTCAGAGGTTAAGAGCACTGGCTGCTCTTCCAGAGGTCCTGAGTTCAATTCCCAGTAACCACATGGTGGCTCACAACCATCTGTAACAAGATCTGGTGCCCTCTTCTGGTGTGCAGGCGGAACACCATATACTTAATAATAAATAAATAAAATTAGAAAAAATTAATGCTTTCAGGGAGCCCAGTGTGGTGACGCACACCTTTAATCCCAGCATTCGGGAGGCAGAGGCAGGCAGATCTCTGTGCGTTCCGGGCCAGCCTGGTCTACAGAGTGAGTTCCAGGATAGCCAGGCCTACCAAGAGAAACTGTCTTGAAAAAAAAACCAAATAAATAAAGGCACTTTTCGTCATTTTTTTCATAGCACTCACTACCCAAAGTGACTGACCATGTTGTCTTCTAACTTTCTCTCCCTAACTTCTAACCCTAACTTCTCTCTCTGTCTCTATTCTCAGCATCGGTGAGCGTTAGGTCCCTCCTGTCTACCCTACCGTGCCATTCAGTACCACCCTGAGGTATTTTTCAATGATTTTCCCCTGTGTGTACATTTTGTGAGGTGGTCTCCTATAGCCCAGGCTGGGTGGTCTCCTATAGCCATGGCTGGGTGGTCCCCTATAGCCCAGGCTGGGTGGTCTCCTATAGCCCAGGCTGGGTGGTCTCCTATAGCCCTGGCTGGCCTCAAGCTCACTGTGGAATAGAGGGCGCCTTGAACTGGTCTTCCTGCATCCGACTCCCAAGCTCTAGGGCCGCCCATGTGTGCCTGGACCTGCGTGGCTTGTGTTTCATCTCCAGATCCCTATCTTCCACCTGGGCAAGGCCACGACTCGAGGCTCCTGCATCCTGCTGCTTCCTCCTTAGGGATGGGGGCAGGGTTCCCAAGGCACCAAGTGCCTGCACCTGCTCCATTTTGTTTATTTGCTTTTAGTTTGTCTGATTTTACATTTTTTTGGTTTTTCTTTTTTTTTGTTTGTTTGTTTTGTTTTGTTTTGTTCTTTTTGGTTTTTCGAGACAGGGTTTCTCTGTGGCTTTGGAGGCTGTCCTGGAACTCGCTCTGTAGACCAGGCTGGTCTCAAACTCACAGAGATCCGCCTGCCTCTACCTCCCGAGTGCTGGGATTAATGGTGTGCACCACCAACGCCTGGCTTGATTTTAAATTTTTATTTCATGTTTATACGTGTATGCCTGTGCCTACCATGTGTGTTCTGGGATTCAAACCTAGGACCTCTGCAAGAGCAGCAAGTGCTCTTAACCACTGAGAGGTCTCTCCAGCCCCTTGCTGTGTGTGTGTGTGTGTGTGTGTGTGTGTCTGTGTTTGACACAAGATCTCCTAGTGCCCTGATTATAATCGCACTTCACCACCGCAGCTAACTCTCTTGTCTCTGTTATGGCCCTACTGCTCCAACCTGCAAGCAAATCCAACCTGCTCCCTCTATAGACTCTCTGTCCCCACACCCACAGCCTTAATCAGTCCCCTCCTCCTGCCCTCTCAACGACTTCCCCCTAGTCACCCACAAGCAAAGGAAGCCTGGGCGCAGGCTCAGGTCCCTCTGACTTAAATTCTGTCCAGAAGCCTCCAAGTTCTCTCCCCAGGGAGGGCGGCTTGGTGGGAGAGTGCGTGCCCCACATGCCTGAAGCACCAGGTCTTTTTTTTTCCCCACTCAAAGCCACAAAGTCCTTACTGACCCATCCCATCACCTCTTGACCCTTTGAGACAATACAAAGACACCAGGCATGGTGGCCCTAGCCCTTAATCCCTGCACTCAGGAGGCAGAGGCAGGATGATCTCTGTGAGTTCTAGGCCAGGCTGGTCTATGTAACAAGTTTTAGGACCTGGGTGTTTCTAGCTGAAGCCTTGTGGACAAAACTGCCAGTGTTCCGTGTCCAAACAGCTCCTTTCCTGCACATGGGACACTGGAACTCCACTGTCCAGGACTCTTCTGGCTCTCCCTTAGAGCCTTCTCTTAGTGTGATTGGGGGGGGCGGTGTTGTAGAGAGAAGCCTTTTCCTTGCCAGCCGCTTTGGTTTTTCCCCACCAGTCGCCTGGGCTCTGCCGCGTTGTAGTCCCCAAATAGCACACAAGACGCTGTATCAATTATGAAGCTGTTGGCCTTGCTTGTTTCTTACTGGCTAGCTTTGACTTAAGTATTTACCCCATCTAAGTATTTCTCTTAACCTCCATCATGCACCACTTTTTTTTTTCTTTTATGAGTCAATCTCATTATATAGCCCTGGCTGGCCTAGAACTCACGCAGTAGATCAGGCTTGACTCAAACCCACAGAGATTCTCCTGCCTCTGTGCCCCCCCACCCCAATCCTGGGATTAAAGACACATGCCATACCAGGTCTCCCGCTCCATTTTAACATTCGTACCCCACGAACACGCTGTATAGTTACTGCCCAATACTGTTTCTTGTCTGTCATCAGCACTAAACGGTGAACTCTCTGAAAGATGGCGGTTTCTCACTTGTTCACGGGCCTGTATCTAGTTCCCAGAACAGTGTTTTCTTGCCGTGAAGGGGTTAAACTCTCCCACTTTTTTTACATTTAAGGTGCAGCTCTCTGAGAAGGGCAAAACAGGTGTCTTTTCCAACCAAGGGCTGTTTACAATCGGCGTTGAGGAGAAAACAACCACAGAGGGCCTACGTCCGTCTCACAGTATCTCAAGGACAAAGCCAGCAGCTGCCTTCTGGGTCACATCCAAGCTTGTGCAGATGTGTCCAAAACTGATAAGGCTAAGCCTTAGCCAATTAGAAACACGCTCATGTGACTGATGCTTGCTTAACCAATTGTGTAGCTGACTCTGGAGCTCCCCTTGGCTGCATGTGCCTCTCGGGGTTGTTGATGTTTTGTACAGGTTCGACCCCGGCATGCTAGAATATTAAGTGCCCTTTGTTCTTGTATACTGTTTGAGTCCGGGGTCCTCCGTCAGCGCTTCCTCAGACCCTGCAACCAGGGTTGAGCACTGACTCTAGGCTCTCAGGGCTGGGAGTCGAGTGCTCTGTCGCTAAGTTCTACCCCAGCCCCTTCACAGCTGACGTGTGAGCCAGGAATGCATTTTGAGCCTGGAGAAGAGATGCATTTTGAGCCTGGAGAAGAGATGAACATCAGTTATCCCAGGCTGGACAAGGAAGCCTGCCTGGGTCTCCAGCATCCTTGAAGGTCTCATGCAGTCCAGACTGGCCTTGAACCAGAAGACAACCTTGAGTTTTCTTTTCTTTCTTTCTTTTTTTAAATCGAGGAAGCCAGATGTGATGGCTTCCATGTCTCTAATCCCAGCACTCTGGAGGCAGGAGCCTGACGTACATATTGAGTTCCAGGTCAGCCGGAGCTACATAATGGGCCTGACGTACATATTGAGTTCCGGGTCAGCCAAGGCTACATAATGGGACCTTGTCTCAAAAGCCACAAAGGGAGGTAGGAGGGCGGGAGAGATGGCTCAGAGATTAAGAGAGTCTGCTGCTCTGTCAGAGGATCTGAGTGAACTCCCATCAGCCCTGTTGGGTGGTCGCAACCACCTCTAACTCTAGTTCCAAGGCATCCAAAGCCCTGTTCTGGCCTCCTCAAGCAACCCGTACTCAAATGGCACATATTCACACAGACAAAGCCCGCATAAGTAAATAATACTCTTTAAACAATTGTTAATTCTATATTGTTTATCTTGGGGTGTGTGTGTGTGTGTGTGTGTGTGTGTGTGTGTGTGTGTGTGTGTGTGTGTGTGGGTTGCTCAAGCTTGCCCACATGCGTACAAGCCACAGTGTGCTTGTGGAGGTGGGGAAATAATTGGCTGGAGTTGGTTCTGTCCTTCCACCATGTGGGTCCTGGGGACCGGGCTTAGCAGCAATCACATCGACCTTCTGACCTTCTGAGCCGGCTCACGCCCTTCCGATCCTCCTGCCTCCACTTCCCCAGCTCTGGGAGTGTGAGCCTGCACACTCTGCCCGGTTTGTGAGACAGGAAATGTCAGGATTCAGACACCAAAAGGACTCCAGCCCCAGCCCCGACCTCTGCTTATTTTGTTTTACTTCTGAGGTTCTAGACGTGTCTGATCATTTCGCCTTGCAGAGTCAACCCGTTTATTGTGTGTGTGCACGCGCGCGCAGGTGTGCCTGTGGCTCGGTCGTTTGTGGGGGGTCAGAGGACAATTCAGAAGCCAGTTCCCGCCCACCTCCTTCCAGGACCTGAGGACCGAACCCAGTTTGTCTGCCTGGCGCCAAGGATCCCTCTGGCTGGTCTCCTCACTATGCAAGTGCTGGTTCTGCCCACGAGTTTTTGCATAGGATGTTAACCTGCCAAGAGCAGCCGTGCTCACCGGGGCATTCGTACCCACTCCTTTCCTGGAAGGTGTCCAGTGATTCTCGCGGTCCTTCGAGAAACGGGACAGTAAGGCTAAGACTGTCACCTCTCCCTTCAGCTTGCTGTGGAGGGGGGAGGGGCAAAGCCAGTGTCTCTACCTTTTTTTCTTCCCCCACTGGCTAACGCAGATGTGTCGAGCCATCTTGGGTCTCAGAGGCCAGGCTGCTGCCTTGGAGTAGCAGGGTCATAGGCAGCAGCTGTCTGAGTGCTTGGTGCCTAGAGGCCTCAACATCAGTCCCGCGGTGCTTACGCTTTAGGGGCTGTGGAAGAAATGAGAATTCTACTGCATTCACTCTGCTACCACTCTGAGTTCTGTTGCAGTGTTTGTTATAAATCTTATCTACCCGATCATGATCATCGTATATACCCTGAGTAATTTCCCACAGTCCTAAAAACACCACTTTCGCTGTGTGTGTAATATTCCATCATCTAAAAGCCGGAAGAAGCTTTTTTTTCCTCGTTTATTCCTTGAACACATATTTATTGAATACTGACTAAACTCAGGGTTAGATGATGGAGATTCAGTGATGAACGAAACCCATTGTTCTAGTTTGCTTTCTACTGCTATGGTAAAGACAATGTGGAAGGGAATGTGTCTATTTGACCTACAGGTCCTGGTTTATCTGGGGAGGCCAAGGCAGGAGCCCGGAGTCAGGAACTGAAGCAGAGGCCATGAAGGATAGGACACTGCTCACCGACAACATGCTCTCCATGACTCACAGTCCAGGACCAACTGCCTATTATTGGGGTACAGGAAAGCTATTAGTTTCCATCACAATGACCTGTAAGCAAATTTGTGGGGTACATTTTCTTAAGTAGTGATTAATGTGGGACGGCCCAGTGCACTATACCCCAGGAACAGATATCTCGGCTGACGCAGTAAGCCAGATCAAGCAGAACTGGAAAAAATAGAACAAGTTTCCCGGGCGGTGGTGGCACACGCCTTTAATCCCAGCCCTCGGGAGGCAGAGGCAGGCGGATCTCTGTGAGTTCGAGACCAGCCTGGTCTACAAGAGCTAGTTCCAGGACAGCTTCCAAAGCCACAGAAAAACCCTGTCTCGAAAAACCAAAACCAAAACAAACCAAAACCAAACCAAAACAAACCAAAACAAACAAACAAACAAACAAAAACCCCAACAACAACAAAAACCTTCTAGTTTCAGGGGACCCAATGCCCTCTTCTGCCCTCCCTGGGCATCTGCACTTCGCTCAGATGATATAAACACATTCAGTCAGGCACACACACATACAAGTAAAATTAAATAAATACTAATAATTTTAAAAAGCTGAGTACAAGCCAGGGGGTGGTGCTGCACACCTGTAATTCCAGCACTCAGGAGGCAGAGGCAGGTGGATCTCTGTGAGTTCAAGGCCAGCTTGTTATACAGAGCAAGTTTTAGGACAGCCAGAGCTGTTACACAAAGCAAACTTGTCTCAAAAAAAAAAAAAAAAACACCTGCTTGTCTCAGAGCCCCGGCTGTGGAGAAAGGGAGGTTTCAAAATGAAAAACCCACCTGCACAGAGGCTACATCTCTTAGACAGGCCATGTGAGGTCAGCTAGTCACGGTCTCCAGGACCAGGCCGACAGCCATTGCCACTACAGCCAAGTTGGTGAGTCATTTGGACATCCAGCCTTGTCATGCTGACAGTCAAAGAGAGGGCTCCTTTTTAGATTTATGCCTTATGTATACAGTGTTCTGTCTGCATGTCTGCAGGCCAGAAAAGGCACCAATTCTCATTACAGATGGTTGTGAGCTGCCATATGGTTGCTGGGAATTGAACTCAGGACCTTTGGAAGAGCAGTCAGTGCTGTTAACCTCTGAGCCATCTCTCCAGCCCAAAGACAGGGTTCTTAAAGAATGAAGTAGCAAGGCATTGGTGGAATAGTTAGACTTGTTTTCATTTTTGCGATGATGGGGTTGTGTAAGGGGAAGCCTTCCCACCAGCCTGGTTCCAGAGCTGCATCAGTCCCAAATAAACACACATGAGGCTATATTAATTATGAAGCTGTTGGCCTTGCTTGTTTCTTACTGGCTAGCTCTGACTTAAGTAATTACCCCATAATTGTTAATCTAAGTATGTCTCTTACTGGAGAAGTTTCCGGGCTTCCTACCCCATGGCGTTACATCTCGACTCTCCGTGTTTCTCCTTCCTAGAGTCCTCCTGGACTCCTAGTCCCACCTATCTTGGTTTGCTATTCGCCAACAGTGCTTTATTGACAAATACACAGGACTTCCCCAACAGGGTTGGCCTGGTACTTTAGGCATGCTAAGCGCATGCTTTCCCCAGACTTGGACATCTTATCTGTAATTACATTTGCTCAGCTGGTATGGAAGTTGCAGCAGGAGTCAAAGAACAGCTTGCAAGAGTCACTGCTGCCCTGGTACAGTGTGGACGCTTAGAATTGAGCTCAGATCGTCAGTCTTGGCAAGGAGTGCTTTTCTCAAGGACCCATCTCAGCTGTCTTTTGTTTATTTTGAAACGGGTGCTGTGCATCCCAAAGGGGCCTAGAATATTCTCTGTAGCTGAGGATGACCTTGAACTCCTGATCCTCTCATCATCACTTCCAAGTGCCTTTTACTGTGTGCGAGGGACAGAACCCAGGGCTTTCGCATGCTAGTCCAGCATTCTACCAACTGAGCTACATCCCAGCCCTCCTTGAATATAATATAAAAACCACCAAACAGACCTAGTTCTGACTCTGAAATAGTCAGATATAGGGTATGCATCAGGACTGGGGCTTTGTGTGGCATTCAGGAAGCTGAGGCAGGAGGGTTGCCGTGAGTTCCAGTCCAGCCTAGGGGGCACACATAGACCCCCGTCTCAACCAGAACAAAAGACTAAACAGTCAGGCCTGGGGTGCAATCTTTTAATCCCAGCACTTTAGAGACCGAGGCCAGTGGGTTTGAGGTCAGTCAAGGTTACACAGTGAGACCCTGTCTCAAAAAAAAAAAAACCCAACAACAAAGACTAAGCAAGCAGCTGGATGTGGCAGCGCATGCCCAAGCTATGTGCATTTTACCCTGGGAAGGCAAACGCATGACTCTTTGCCCCAAATACGGCAGTGCCGGCAGACTGACGGGAGAACCCACTCAAGTCCGGCTGCGGGGCAAGCGGTTTATGTAAGGCTGCTGACGGGACTGTGGGCAGCTTCTGGGTGCCTGCCCGCATCTCTTCCCTTTAAGAACCATTTATTTATTATTATTGGGGGCGTGTACGCATGGAAGTCAGAGGACCTTATGGAATCAGTTTTCTTCCACTGTCACTCGGGTCCCAGGGATAGAACTCGGGGCGGTGGGCTCGGCAGCAAACACTGTTAACCGACCAGTCCCACTAGCCCTGGTTTACAGTTCCTCTCTGTTTCCTTTTCTTCCGAGGATCCATCCCAGGGATCTCGTGCTCACTAAGCAAGGGTCCTGCACCCCCAGAGTTTGCCTGCTTTTAAAGACAAGAGTTTCCATATGTACCTCCCCAGACAGACTGTGAGCTTACAATCCTCCTGCCTCAGACTCGCTATTGCCGGGATTGCAGGCATAAGCCATCAGGACCAGCCCTCTTTTTAAAAATTACATTTTTTCATATGTGCGAGACTTTGTGCCACGTTTGTGATGGTGCCTTTGACGGCCAGAAGAGGGCGCTGGATCCTCTGTAACAAGAGACAACGCTGTGTGAGCTTCATGTGGGTGCTGGAAACTGCATCTGGGTCCTCTGGAGCAACAGCGGGTGCTCTTCACCACTGAGCCTTCTCTCCTCCGGCCCCAATCAGCACTGGGTTTTACTCTCACAAAGACAACCAAAGCCTGGGGCTGTACCTCAAGCCTGTAATTTCAGCACTTCTCCAGGTCCAAGGACAGCTGCCTCTCAACAAAGGAAAGAGAGGCCAGGCGTGATACGGTGCACACGGTTAATTCCGGCACTCAGGAAGCAGAGGCAGGAGCATCTCTGTGAGTTCGAGACCAGCCTGGTCTACAGCGCTCCAGGACAGCCTCCAAAGCAATACAGAGAAATTCTGTCCAAAGACAAAACAATCAGAAAGACAAAGAAAACCAAATATAAGAAAGGAAAGAGAAAAAAGAATCAATGAGGAGGGCAACCTGTGGAACTTGCTTCGACACTAGCATACCCCCAAAATGGATACTGAGGCAGCCTTCCAATCTATTTACAGTAGACTAACTGGGAACTGAAGGGCATCTCAGGGCTGGTGGGATGGCTCAGTGGGCAGGGTTGCCAAGAATGATGACCTGAGTTCCATCCCCTGGGACCATAATCCCTGGGACACACGGTGGAAGGGGAGAAATGAGTTTTTCCAGTTGTCCTCCGACCTCTATCAATTAATCAGGAATACACACACATAAAATACATAAATATGGGGGGGTTGTTTGTTTGTTTTCATTTTTAAGACCAGGCCGGCCTCGAACTGACAGAGCGAGTTCCAGGACAATACTGAGAAACCTTGTCTCAAAAAACCAAAATAAATAAATAAAAAATAAAAAAACATATTGAAAGACATCAAGAGATGTAAACAGCTAAATTCTTATTATTTAGACTGTGGGAAATTCCAGAAAAAATGAGCTGGACTCTTGCAGAATTCTTAAGAGAGCTACCCGAATGCAGCATGTGATGCAGAGAGCCTAGGTGTTGATTTGTATAAATCAACAGAAAAAAACATTTATGAAACAATTGGAAATACTTGATTTTGACCGAGTATTTAACAGTACCTTAAAATTAATGCAACTTTTTAAATAAATATTTTTTATAATTCATTTATGTTTTATGTACATTGGTGTTTTGTCTGTGTCAGGATTCCGAATCCCTTGGAACTGGAGTTATAGTCAGCTCTGAGCTGCCAGGTGGGTGCTGGGAATTGAACCCCAGTCCTCTGGAAGAGCAGCCAGTGCTCTTAAATGCTGAGCCTTCTTTGTAGCCCCCTTAATGTGACTTCTTAAAAGATTTAATAGAGCTGGGATTGACATCTAAAGCAAGCTTGTTTCTAATTTTAATTAAAAAATATTTAATAGAGCTGGGCATTGGTGGCGCACGCCTTTAATCCAGCACTCGGCAGGCAGAGGCAGGTGGATCTCTGTGAGTTCGAGGCCAGCCTGGTCTAAAAGAGCGAGTTCCAGAACAGCTTCCAAAGCCACAGAGAAACCCTGTGTGGAGGGATTTCGCATGCCTGTAACCCTAGCGTTTGCCAGACGAGCTACAGCTACATTGCAAGATTGGTCTTCAAAATCTAAGTAAATTACTACATTAACTAAGACAACGGGAGATGTGTTATAAACAAAACAAGATAGCCATATTATGGTAATTAACAAAACTGCATCAGGCATTGCTTGATAGTGCAGGCTTGTAGTCCCAGTAGCTGGTACACTGTGGAGTTCAGGCTGGCCTGGACTACACAATGACGGGGTTTTCAGAACCAGCACACGCGCAGCACCGCTGTCCTCGGAGCCGGTAGCCACATCTCCCACAGCACCATTCCTGGTATCGCTGGGACTGGGTGGGAGGAACAGGGGAGGACGACTACCTCCACTTGGGGACAGTAGGACGGGGCTGAGATGTTGCGATGCTTTCTGGGAAACGGAGTCCTTTCAATTCGTGGCCATTACAATCCTGTAGGACTGCAGACCCCACAGCGGCTGAGCGATGCGCTGCTGCCCTCTGGTGGAGGCTGTGCGGGTACGGTCCAGGCTGGCCGGTGTTATTTAGATCCCGAGTATCCCCCAAGGGCTCATAAGCTGAAGACTGACCACCAGCCTGTGTCACTGTTGACAGTGGGACCTTTAAGTGGGGACTAGGTGAAGGAAGGGAACACACACTTGAAGGAGATAGCGGGATCCTGGCCCCTTTCCCTCTGCCTCCCCTGCCACTGTGAGATGAGCGGCATTGTCACGTGCTCCTTGCTGTGACACTGTCTCGTGGCAGGCTGAGATAATAACATCCAGGGTCAAATAATCACGGACGGAGCCGGGCGTTGGTGGCGCACACCTTTAATCCCAGCACTTGGGAGGCAGAGGCAGGCAGATCTCTGTGAGTTCGAGACCAGCCTGGTCTACAAGAGCTAGTGCCAGGACAACCCCCAAAGCCACAGAGAAACCCCATCTCAAAAACAACAACAACAACAAAAAGACTTGAGCACCGGGCTCGAGAGACCCACCTTGATGAACGAGGGGCAAGAGCAAGAGGATTATTGCCAGCATTAAATGCCTGGGGTCTCTGTATGCATGCCCGTATACAGATGCACACATACCCACACATACATGAACACACACACGTGCACGCGCGCGCGCGCACACACACACACACACACACACACACACACCATCTGGTTGGAAAGTCAGGACATACTTCTTGCTCGCTGACATGGCGGGGAGGTGAGGTGCCAGCACGTTCTATGGACCTATTTCTTGCAGTGACTGGTGGCACTCAGCATGTGTGGCGCGTGGGTGGCTGGTGCAAATCTATAGGCAGTTGTTTCGGACCATGTCTTGAGTCCGTTTGGGGCTGGCCCTGCGACTCTGGGTCTTGAGTCCATCAGAATGAGCCCACGTGCTCTGTAGTGGGCATAGGTGACACCGCCGTGTGCCCAAGGACCCCACAGCTCTCAGGCACCTTTGTCTCCTTGCTAGTGTATCCGCTCGCTGTGACTGCTTCCTCCCACTTTGGAAGGTCTAATTAAGCAATTACAACAATTAAGGCATCTCGCAAAAAGTCGTCCTACCCAGCATCCCTTGAAGGAGCTAATGAGGGTTATTATTTTCCGTGCAGGTCCATGCCCAGTGACTCACCCTCTCCAGAACACATGGGCTGCACACACACCAAGGCCGGAGGGCAGTGTTCTCTGCCAGGCTACCCAATACTGTGAGGAACGGCTCCACGCTGCCTATGACTTCCAGTGCTTTATTTATTTATTTACTTATTTTCTCTACTTAGGATGGAACCATATGCTACACAATATCCCCAGCCCTCTTTTTACTTTAAAATTTAATGTGTACGAGTGGTTTTCGGCATATGTGTATGCGCACCACATGCATGCAGTGCCCTCAGAGACCAGAAGAGGGCGTCAGATCCCTTGGAACTGGAGTTTCAGGTGGTTGTGAGCTACCAGGTGAGTGCTGGAATCGTAGGTGAAGCTGTTCTGTTTTTCTTTTTTCCTTCCTTTCTTTTTTCTTTTCCTTAGGTTTTTGTTTTTTGAGACAGTGTTTCTCTGTAGTTTTGGAGGCTGTCCTGTAGACCAGACTGGTCTCGAACTCAGAGATCCACCTGCTTCTGCCTCCCGAGTGCTGGGATTAATGGCGTGTGCCACCACTTAGCTTCTTTGTGCCTTTTCAGGCAGGGTCTCACTGTTCATTCGGGCCCTCAGGTCACTCAGTAGCCCAGGCCTGTCTGAGGATGGAGGATGGCCAAGCCTGTCAGAAACCTGGCTTTTTTTACTTCCTTAAAATACTAAGATGGCAGTTCAGAGCACTGGCTGCTTTTCCAGAGGCAGTTCACAAGTTACTCCAGTTCTAGGGGACCCGATGTCCTTTCTGGCCGGTGTGGTCAGACTACAAAGGCCCCTCGGGTGGGGGTCTGCGGCAGATCCCACCAGCACCCCTTCCTCCCCATCTCCTCCAGCTCAGCCCCCGACAGCAGGCTGGGCTAACAGTTGTCCTGGAGTTAAGAAGTGACTCCAGGATTAGTCTAGCTTTACCACATGGCACCCTGGCTAACGACTTAGGAGTAAGTCTTGAACTGTGCCTCTTCGTGGTTTGCACTGCAGCCCAGGCTGCTTTGGAATTCGTCAGAATCCAGGTTGTAACCCAAATCACCAAGTCACCAAGGCTAAGCTGCCTCTGCTTCCTGAGTGCTAGGACTACAGTCAACTGCCTGGCGCTCTACCCGAGAGCAGAGGCCACCGGCCACCCTGCCCCTCTCTGCTGGAGCGTGGGGCGGGAGAGGATGGGAGCCCGGCAAGGTGAGCACAGATGGAGATGGCTGTGGGCACAGAGACCAGTAGACTGGGGAACACGTGAGCCCCCAAAAGAAGATGAATCAGGCTGCAGGGTGTGGTCACGCGTGATTTTATTCCTAGTGCTTAGAGGAGACGGAGGCAACTCTGTGGAGTTTGAGGTCGGCCTGGCCAGGGCAAACCACACGCTGAGACCTTGTCGCCTTAAAAAAAAAAAAAAAAAGACTTGAGCTGTCTTCTTGCCTAAGCCGCGTTAGTTTGGGCTTGTTAGAGCAGCAGAATATTCTATGAGAAATTTACATGGGTGTGTATACTGTGTAAGCAACAAGTTGGTGTTAACCTCCGTGAGCTCTGTGTTGGGATGGGTGCTGGTCCTGGTCCTCTGCTAGAACAGCAAGCACTTTTTGTTTTAACTAATGTATGTGCATTGGAGTTTGGCCTCCATGTATGTCTGTGGGAGGGTGTCAGATCTTGGAGTTACAGACACTTGTGAGAGGCTACGGGAGTTGAACCTGGGTCCTCTGGAAGAGCAGCCAGTGCTTTTAACTGCTGAGCCGTCTCTCCAGCCCCACAGCAAGTACTCGTAACTGTGAGTCACCTCTCGAGCGCTCGGGATACTACTCTGAGTAAAATGGCAAAGCCACTGGGCAGTGGTGGCGCACACCTTTTACATGGGAGGCAGAGGCAGGCGGGTCTCTGTGAGTTCAAGGACAGCCTCGTCTACAGATCGAGTTCCAGAAGAGGCCCCAAATCTAGTGAAACTCTGTCTCCAAAAACTAAAACAAAAAAAAGGTAAAGTCATCTTTTGGAGGTATCTAGGTGCTACCCCTTCATCCAGGTGTTTTTTGTTTTGGGATCTTTTTATGTACTTGTTGCTGTTGTCCAGGAACTCACTCTGTAGACCAGGCTGGTCTCGAACTCACAGAGATCCGCCTGCCTCTGCCTCCCGAGTGCTGGAATTAAAGGCATGAGCAGCTACCACCTACTATGAGTTACTTTACCATGGTCTTCCCAGATATCAAGAGACTCCCACATTCTCCTGGATTAATTTAATGCACAGATCTGAAATGTCAATGGCAGAGAAGTGAATACAATTAAACAGGGTCTGAGGAAAGGGGCCACAGGCATACAGACAAAGGGGCTCTGTCAGGGGTCGGGTCAGGAGATGTTCCCTTCAGTGTCACATCTCATCCAAGCCGTAGTCCTCCTCTGGGAAATCTCCCACGGTGACAGCCGATGGCTTGACAAAGGCACCGTACTTGGCCTCGCATTCAAAGTAGCGTTTCCCATTCACACTGCAGGACAGGAGGTAGTGAGGGAGAGGGGTAGGCTCATCCAGCAGCCCACGTGGACTCCCGCACACATGGGCAAGCGCACGTGTCAGCGGCCATACGTTACCTGCCATCGTTTTTCCCCAAGGGCTCATCGTATCGGATACCAACCCAGTAGCCTGGCTTGAAATCTGTGAGTCCTATCCGGGAGAGAAATCTCAGTGAGACCTCTATATGGCGCCCACTCACGGTGTGTACTTCCTGGCGGAGTGGAAAGGCTGCCATGGGGACAGACTCCCTCCTCCACTGCTTAGATCCCTCCTCCTCCCCAAAGATGGCAGCCTCGCCACTGGCTCTCTTTCTGATTCTGTCTCCCATCACGCAGGACCCCTAGCGAGAGCAGGGCGGCACTGCTATTCTGCCACAGAGAAAGGCATATGTGGCCGTGTAGCCATGGGTAAGCCAGGCTTCAAGTTAGTGTGAGCCGGGTGTTGGTGGCGCACACCTCTAATCCCAGCATTTGGGAGGCAGAGGCAGGCGGACCTCTGAGTTTGAGGCCAGCCTGGTCCTCCATGACGCTATGGCCAAGTTCATGGGGTCAAACGGCCACGAAGTGAACCCTCTGAAGCTATGAGCCAAAAGACACCTTTCCTTGGGTTCTGTCAGGCTTCTTGTCACAGAGACAGAAAGACACCTACCTACATACATGACAGTGCCCCGGCGAAGGGATTGGCCAGGTGGCTGCACCTCACAACGGCTACCCACAGAGATGGCACTGGCTTGGGCCTCCTCCTCGCTGAGGCGCTGGGCGGCTTCCGCCTTCTGCTGCGCCCGAAGCTCTTCATTGTATGGGCCTACCTTGCTGCGCTTCAAGAAGGATCGAACTGTATCTGTGGGCAGGGTGGAGATGGGGTCAAACCTGACCTTAAAGGCTGGCATGCAAGGAGAAAGTCTATTCCGAATGTTCAAGAGCTACCATCAGACACCCTGGAGCCCCTCACCACTGCGCTGGCCCATCTGGCTCTCCCTGCAATTCAGAGCTGAAGAGATACCAGCTGTCTGCAGTTCCTCAACTGCCCGTTTCTCCACACATCCCTCCGGGCTCCCATCCATCTCCACCCAGTCCCCACCCCACCTCCAGCTCCCTTCTCTCAGAGCCCTCTGCCTGCCTAACCGTCTCCTGGTCTCCCATGCGTCTCCCTTCCCTCACCCCCAGTTTTCTGTCCCTTCCACCAGCCCCGCATCACCACCGTCCATCCTCCAGGACCCGTCCCCACTGCCTAGCTGTGACGGCCCCGCTTTCTCTCCCCAGCCTTCTGGACCCCACATGGCCCTTCCAGCCCAGCCCATGCACTCCATACTTTGCCTCTGGTCATAAGCTTCTGATGAGAGCTCATACTTCTCCACCCTGGACACGTCTTCATATTCTCCAAGTTGGCCGCCACTGTGGTCAATGACCTTTGGTGAGAGGAAGGGAGTCGGTGGGGACCAGGGTCAGGAGAGAAGACTTGGGATGCTGGGACGAAGTCTGGGGACTTTAGCAGAGGGCACGCTTCTCCCCTCCGGAGCGCAGCAGAACAGACGCGGCCCCTCCCCTCTCTCACCCCCACTAGGCTCCTGGATGCTGCATCTGCCTCCAGATGCTCTCCACAGGCCGCATCAGCATCACTGACGTGCCCATGGCCCTGAACCAGCTGTAGAGCTCAAGGCTGCCTCACATCCTTCCTCTTAGGGCCCCTGTGATGCTCCTAGGGTGGCCCCAACCTCCAGAACCAGGATCATCTGGGTCAGGACAGCCTCCTTTCTGGTGTCCCTGTTCTGCCTGTCCTCCATCTGGCTTCGTGCCTACAACCTGCGGATGCCCATGACCACCAGAGGCACAGGTCCCTCCTGCTCATCACCCTCCCAGCAGCCTCTGTGTTCCCCCCTACTTCAGATATTCTCACGGGCCATGTCCTCCCCTGCCTCTTCAATTAACACTCTTCTGGAGATGCTCACAGAGCACCTGCTCCAGGAAGTCCTCACAGGACTCACTGAAGGCCAGCCTCCCCAGTCAGGGGATGCCAAGCTTTCCTGCATCACCCTCATCCCCACGGATTTTTCCTGTCTGGTTCTTCGATCATTTAGCTAATGCCACCACATACACTGGGTAGGGCTAACACACGCCTTCTGCATTATGGCTTGCAAGTGTACCCAACTCAACAGAGATGTTTGAAGACCCAGTAACAGAATAAATGAAAAAAAAAAAAAAAACAACCAGTTCTCCAGGCTCAGTGCCTTCTGAAGTCAGGGCAGACCCAGGTCAAAATTCTAGCAAGAGTTCACCCTTGAGAAAGTAAATTCCAGTGTTGGGAGGGTGGCCCAGGTCTATAATCTTAGCACTCTAGGGACAAGATGATTATGAGTTGAAGGACAAGGGCAGTCTGGAACACACATGCATGCACGCGCGCTCTCACACTCACTCACTCACACACACACACACACACACACACACACACACACACACACGAAATCAAATTATATAAGAACAACCAACCAACCAACAAACAAAACAAAACAATTCCATCCTGAAGCTGAGTTTTTTTTCTTCCACAAATGGAACACCATAGTCCTGGTGTTCATCTGGAGACTCAACATCTCAGCAGTGACTCAGTGATTCATGAAGGGACCCTGTCTGTGCTGGTGACACAGCAGTGAGCTAAAGTGCTCTCTGCCCTCCTGGAATTCTTTTTTTTTTTTTTTTTTTTGGTTTTTCGAGACAGGGTTTCTCTGTATTATTTTGGAGGCTGTCCTGGAACTCGCTCTGTAGACCAGGCTGGCCTGGAACTCACAGAGATCCACCTGCCTCTGCCTCCCGAGTGCTGGGATTGAAGGCGTGCGCCACCACCGCCCGGCTTGCCACTGCCTACTTAACATGGGCATTTTCCACAAGGGGCTCCGTGAGGACAGGGACTACACCGCATACCACGCCGGGAAAAGCAAGCACAGCATGGCTGAATGGACAGACGAAAGGGGTGGAGTGGGGCCCCAGGAAGGGTGTGGCCTCACGTGGATGCGGCAGCCGTCATCCACAGGATAGGAGCCCAGCAGCGCATCCTCTCGATCCAACTTGCAGCAGAGCTTGTCGTCGGGGCCGTACAGCTCCAGTTCCATGCACGAAGCGGGACTGCCCACCACCAGTTCTAGTTTACACTGCGGCAAGGGGGCAGGAGGAGGAGGGGGCTATCAGAGGCCTCATTTTCTGGTTTCTATCAACAACCACGACGGCACCCCTGCGGCTCCCAAAAGACCCTGGGCCCACCCAGCGCAGCTCCTCCCGGCCCCGCCCCTAGGCTGCGGACTCTCCGGGGGGCTCCTGCGACCTCACCTCAAGCCCCGCCCACTCGCCTCCAGGCCCCGCCCTCCAGCCCCCCCCCCCCCCGGGCCCCACCTTGAACTCCGCGATGGTAAGGCTGCGATTGTACCGCTTCTCCGAGCGGAAGGTGTTGAGAGAGCTGCTGATGAAGACCGTCACCGTGGGCGCCGAGATCACCTCCATCTCGCCGCGCCCGGGAGCGGCCCGCGGTCCCGTTCAGCCGTCTCACACCGGCTCCGCAGGGGCCGCCGCTGCTTCTGGGAGATCGGTCCCGCCCACGGTCCCGCAGCGGACCAATGCAAGCTCTCCAACGGAGACGGCCGGCCAATCGCCATCGCCCTTTCTCCTCCGGGTAGGCGCAGCCAATCCCGAGACGCCTTCCTTCCGTGTTCCTCGGGTCTTCCAATAGCCGCGCTGGAAGCCGCCCAGGAGGGCGGGAGCAGGCGGATGGCAGGAGGAAAGACTGGCTAGCGTTAGCCTGGTCCGCCGAGAGTACGCTCGGCGCATGTGCGCTGGCCTGGGGCCGGGAGGAGCCGCGGCTTCTTCCGTTCATGCGCAGCGCCAGCCCTTGTCCTAGACCCGTGCTACTCCGTCAATTGGGCAGCAAGGTTCCGAAACAGAGGGGGGCGATTTACCGAAGAGCATCAGAGGCGGGAGGCACGCCAGACCCCCGCAAGCGTGCGCGTGCATGCGTCCCCGGGCCCGCTGTCGGCGCAGCCACGCGATCTGACCCTTCCCGCGGCCCGTAGCGCGGCGGCCGCGCAGCGCGGAAGGCTCAGCCGACCCGGTCGCTATGGAACCAGACGGGACCTACGAGCCCGGCTTCGTGGGGATTCGATTCTGCCAGGAATGGTGAGGCCCGGGGCGGCTGGCGTGGGAGGGCGGCGAGGCCCGGCTTCAGGGCTGACCTGCGACCTCCCCGTCCCCGCAGTAATAACATGCTGTACCCCAAGGAGGACAAGGAGAACCGCATCCTGCTGTACGCGGTGAGTCCCGGCCGCCCGCCCCGTCCCTCCCTCCCCTCCCTCCCCCGTCCCTCTGGGCTGCCCCTCAGGACACCCCTCCTCCCGCCTTGCCCACCCCGCCCGTAGTGCCGCAATTGCGATTACCAGCAGGAAGCCGACAACAGCTGCATATACGTCAACAAAATCACGCACGAAGTGGAGTGAGTGGCGGGGGCCCGGCTGGGGCGCGGGCGCGGGGAGGGGGTCTCGTGACGCCCAGTCTAACCGTGCCCGCTCCCACCCCACCCCTCCCCGCAGCGAGCTGACCCAGATCATCGCCGACGTGTCGCAGGACCCCACGTTGCCGCGGACGGAGGACCACCCTTGCCAGAAGTGAGCGCGCAGCCGCCTGGGGGGGTGGCTGTCGTCCCCGTCCCCCCACACCCCCGGGGGGTGACCAGGGTCTTTCACACTCCCAGTAACCGAGCCATCCCCGTAGGTGCGGCCACAAGGAGGCTGTGTTCTTCCAGTCGCACAGTGCCCGAGCCGAGGTGAGCGCTTTTCCTGGGGTGGCCGGGGTGGTTCCCCGGGGGGGGGGGGCGGAGATGCCAGCTTCAGGCCGACCGAGCCAAGGTTGGACGGTCCTTTTGTGGTGGAGTGGCCCGCGCTACGCCACTGTCCCCCGGGTCCGGACCCTTCCTAAGTCCGCATCCTCGTTGCCAGGACGCCATGCGCCTGTACTACGTCTGCACCGCCCCACACTGCGGCCACCGCTGGACTGAATGAGCTTTCCTCCTCCCCCGCCGATAATAAACACCGCGTTCTACACTGGCGTCTCCCGTGTTTATTTGTCCCCGCGGGTAGCAAGCCGCGGGCGCCATCAGGTTGTGCGGTGGAGCGTGCGGTGCTGTGCGTAAGCGTCAGGCCGAGAGCTGGTGAAGCCACAGTCTTCGCAGACGTGCAGCTTCTCCCTGCGCTCCCGGTAAGCGTAGCTGGCTGGCTGCCCGTGCACCTTGGCAAGATGAGCTTCAAGCGAGCAGCGCTGGGTGAAAGCTTTCCCACAAGCTCCGCAGCGGAACGGCCGGATGCCTGTGGAGGTGAGGGGCAGAGAGGACAACCTTGGACTACAGGGGGACATTTCCTGTCCTTATTCCAAGCTTATTCCATGGCCCACCAACCGCCCGCTGCCCCTTCCTGAGGCCTTCGGAGCCAGACCCTGTGCCTCCTCCATGCCTCACCAGGAAGCTCTCCAAGAAAGGGAGGGGCTGGTAGCAACTTGGAAAGTTCCCGTGACTGTTCAGACTCTGGATACTGAATTTTTATTTTACTGGTTTTGTTTTTGTTTTGAGACAGGATCTCATTGTGTACCCTTGGCTATCCCAGAACTCACTCTGTAGACCAGGCTGGCCTCGAACTGACAGAAATATGCCTGTCTCTGCCCCCAACTACTGGGATTAAAGGCATGTGGTGACACCACCTGGCCTTATTTTTTTTCACGACTTATTTATGTCTATTTTATGGACATTGTTGTTTTGCTTACATGTATGTCTGTGTGAGAGCATAGGGTCCCCCAGAACTGAAATAACAGACAGTTGTGAGCTGCCATGTGGGTGTTAGGAACTGAACCCGGGTCCTCTGGAAGAGCAGCCACTTCTCCAGCCCCTATCTTTTTTTTTTTTTTTTTTTTTTTTTTTTTTTTTGGTTTTTCGAGACAGGGTTTCTCTGTGGCTTTGGAGGCTGTCCTGGAACTCACTCTGTAGACCAGGCTGGCCTCGAACTCACAGAGATCCGCCCGCCTCTGCCTCCCGAGTGCTGGGATTAAAGGCATGTGCCACCAACGCCCGGCTCAGCCCCTATCATTTTTGAGACAAGGTCTCACTGTGTAGCCCTAGCTGTCCTGGATCTCAGAGATTTACCTGCCTCCATGGACTTCCTGGGACTAAAGGAAAGGACTACCAAGCCTGGCTCAATTTTTTAATTACGTTTTTTTGTGTGTGTGTGCCTTTGTGTGTGCATGCGAGTGAGTTTTGTGTGTGCACGCGAGCGAGTGTGTGTGCACGAATGTCATGGTACACACTGGAAGGTAATTGCAGGAGTCTTTTTACACCACCGGGGCCCTGAGGATTGAACTCAGGTTGTCAGGCTAGCCAGTAATTGCCTTTACTTACTGAGAAATCTTGCTGGCCCAGGACCTGAATCCTGTAGCCAGCACCCATCTCTGCCTCTCCAGACCCCTTCCCTAGAGCCACCTTATACTCACCTCCCGTGAGGTGCACCATGTCTCAGGGATACTCACCTCAGGGACACTCACCTCCTGTGAGGTCTCGGGTCTCTGGTCGTTTGTGTCCCTGCGGCTTATCCCTAATCCCTGGAGACCCCACATCTCATGGGCCTCCCTCTATTTCATTCCATCGCCGTCCCTATCCAGTGTCCACAAGGCCCCCTTTGTCCCTGCTGTCACTCACCAGTGTGGGTCCTCATGTGGCGCTTGAGGTCGAAGGCGTCGTGAAAGCCCTTACCACAGCAATGGCACACGTGGCGGCGTGCTGGGCTGTGGCATTTGAGGTGCCGCGTCAGCATACGCTGCAGCGGGAAAGCCTTGGGGCAAAGTGGGCAGCCAAGTGTCCCCGGGGCCCTGGGAGCAGAGGTCAGGGTTCCCTGTGAGGACTGCCAGAGGGTGCGGGAGTCAGCCTGGCCAGCTGGACCCTACCCAGGCTTTGCTGCTCTGCAAACAACAAGTTTCAGCGTGCCCGCAGCTCAGGACCACTACAAGAGGGTCGGAGTGCTGGGGACAGGTGCCACCCTCTCCCAACACCCCCCTAAGCAGATCGCAGCACTCTGACCTTCATGGCTCTCCATTGCCAAGAACACACTTCCTGATGAGAGCTTTCCCAGTTTTACTGTTTGCCTCTGGCACCGGGGGGGGGGGCTCCGTGAGAAAGTGGCTTTCTGTCCCTTCTGCTGGGGACTCAGCACCTTGGTCAGTGCCTGCCTCAGATACTGAGACAACCTCAGGCATACTCAGTTTTTTTTTTTTGTTTTTTTTGTTTTTGTTTTTGTTTTTTTTGGTTTTACAAGACAAGGTTTCTCTGTATTGTTTTGGAGGCTGTCGGTCCAGCCTGGCCTCGAACTCACAGAGATCCTCCTGCCTCTGCCTCCCGAGTGTTGGGAGGCATACTCAGTTTTACCCAGCACTTTCCTTCCTTTCAAAGACGGCACAGTTGGCCTGCTCCTGGGAGGTTAAGGCAAAGGAGCTCCCACCCCATCTCTGTTACCCTACCCGGTGTGATGTTCTGACATAAATCACTTACTTGCACCCATTGGCCCCAGATCCCCGGAGCAGGGCCCTACAACTGCCCACCCGCCCTAAGAACATGGTCCTCTCTGAGACTGGACTGAGCTGGCTACTGGGAAAGGCTCAGGAAGAGCCTGGCCGCAGAGCGTGCTCAAGGGCCTGAGGCAAGGGGCAGCCAGCTTCCGGGACGCAAATGGAGTTCATTCCTGTCTCAGCTGCCAGCTGCAGACTCACCACTGCCCAAGTGTCTCTCTGGCCAGGAGATCTGTGCCCCGGTGGCACCGCCAGGCTGCAGCAGTCTGGGGAGAGAAGCCAGATGTGATGCCTTGTGTCTCCCTGGCCCTTGCCCCAGGCCCATGAGGGGCGCACCTGGGATGTAGGCATCTCCCCTGAGCTGGTCAGGCAGACGGCTCCAGTTCGGTGGCTGTGGACGCCGGCTCCTCACGAGGAAGACCCTGGGCATTGCTTTCAGGATGGCGCAGTAGCTCCTCTCAGGGCTGACTGCCTCCCCTATATGCTGCCTGTCAGGCCTCAGCCCCAGAACAATCCAGAGCGACCCACGGAGGAGCCTCATTCTCTCCATGCAAATTTTGGGACAAGCCTGGGGAGCAGCCTTAACAGGCTCTAGTTACCTCTGCTCTGGGGCCTGCCGTTATGACTCCTTCCCTGTAGGGGCCAGGCTTCCAAGGAACTCTGCAATCGCCAGGGGCTGAGGCACTAGAGGGACCCCCCTCCCCTGAGGCTTGAGAGAAGAGCCTAGGCTGCTCCTAGGGATGGAGAGAAGAAAGAGACATGGCCCCAGTCCTGGCAGGATGAAGGACTGCAGAACTGTTTACCAGGCAAATCAGTCCCGGGTCCATTCCCCCTACACACACTAGCCCGCCTGGTTATTCAAATCACAGCAGCTGTCCAGGGTTCGGGTGGGGACAGCAGTGATTGCTCTGTGCCACTGGTGTAGGGTGACAGCAGCAGAATGGGTAGTTAAAAGCAAGAACCAGGCTGAGCTTCCTCAGGCAGGAAGCTCGCTCTCTCTCATCTTCAGATTTCCAAAGATGGCGTGGCACGTCTCAGGTTAAGGGTATTAAAATGCCGGTTTGTCAACAGTCCAGTTCCTAGTGAGTGCACGTGACTCCTCCCTTACCTCATGTCTGAACTCGGAATCAAGAATTGTGAACATTCTCTCCACAGTTATCTTCTGTTTATTTATTTATTTATTGAAACAAGGTTTCTTCATGTGGCCTTGGGTCTTTTGGAATGCACTCTGTAGACCAGGCTGGCCTGGAACTCACAGATCTGCCTGCCTCTGCCACCAGTAGGACTCGTGAAAGAAGAAAGGGAAAGGTATTCTGAACTTAGATCATGAAGCCTGCATGCCAAGTACCTCTACTCTGAGCCAGCCCAATACCCATGCCGTTTCGAGAAAGGTCTTATGTAACCCAAGCTGGCCTTTATGTAGCTGGGGATGGAAAGGGACCGGATTCCAGCCAAAGGGAATAGTCTTACAAAGCTTTAGGGAAGGAAATGTACATTTCATTTCTTAAAATCATGGCGGGGGGGGGAGGGATACACAATAACACATGTCAAGGTCAGGGGACAAACCTTGGGAATTGGTTCACATTCCACCTTTATGTGGTGAGCTGGTGCGTTTTCTACCAACTTGGCGCAAACCAGAGTCATTTGGGAAGGGGCGACTTCAATTGAGAAAATGCCCTCACTAGATTGGTCAGTGGGCAAGCTTCTGGAAGGCTTTCTTGCTTGATGTGGGAGGGTCCAGATCACTGGGTGCTGCTACTCCTGGGCAGGAGGTCCTGGGAGTTATAAGCAGCCTGAGCAAGCCAGGAGGAGCAAGTCAGTGAGCAGCGCCCTCGATGGCCCCTGCCTCAGTTCTTGCCTCCAGGCTCCCACCCTGACTCTTGGATGATGGACTGCGACATGAGGTAAACCCTTTCTTCTGCAAGCTGCTTATGGTCTTGGTGTTTCGTTTTGTTCTTTTCTGAGGCAGGGTTTCTCTGTATCCTTGGCTGTCCTGGAACTCTCTCTGTAGACCAGGCTGGCCTGGAACTCAGAGATCCACCTGCCTCTGCCTCCCAAGTGCTGGAACTAAAGGCTGTTATCTTTTTTTTTTTTTTTTTTGGTTTTTCGAGACAGGGTTTCTCTGTATTATTATTATTGTTTTTTGGAGGCTGTCGAACTCTGTAGACCAGGCTGGCCTCGAACTCACAGAGATCCGCCTGCCTCTGCCTCTGGAGTGCTGGGATTAAAGGCGTGCGCCACCAACGCCGGCCGGCTGTTATCTTCTTAATCAGAGCTTCTGTGACTACCCACAAGGGGCCCTTCCTTCACAAGAGTGGATGGGATGAAGCTGGATGATGGCCCCCGGCTTTAGGAGAGCCCTCTGCTGGGTTCCTTTTTACAGGGACTTGGGACAGTATGTGTGTGGTCTCCAGTGGCCTTCTCAGGAAGGCACTAAGTCTGCAGTTGGCTCATGGGAGGAAGCTGGATGTAGTCGTCTTTCTGACGAAGGCATCACAGGCCCAGCAACTAGGTGGCTTGGGGCTGCTGCAGATTGTTCAGTGGTGTCCGTCTCCTACTGCCCCGGCTGCAGATGTGACGATAACAATGCAGACCCTGCAGAATCCAGGGTGAATTTAGTCCAGGGCCGTCAGCCAGGGGTGTACGCACTGAGGACAGGGTCAGGCTCGTGATGATCCCACTGATTCCACTGGGTTCGAAGGCACCTGTAGGCTCAGGAAGGCTAGCTCCCGCTGGGTGGTGGTGGCGCATGACTTTGATCCCAGCACTTGGGAGGCAGAGGCAGGCAGATCTTTCAGTCCAAGACCAGTCTGGTCCAGAGTGAGTTCCAGGACAGATAAACCCATCTTGAAAAACCAAACAGCAAGCAAACAGGCAAAGAATCCTAGCTCCGCCTCAGGGTACAGATGGGTTCCAATGGGCAAAGAGCACACGATCCCGGCAACAGCTCAATATGCCAGGGACAGGCTACATGGGAAGCCCGCCCGGCCTTCATCGTTACCGCTGGTCCCGCGTTCCCTGCCGGCAGGTCCACAGAACGGGGCCTAGGGTTGGAGCAAAGCGAGTCTCCAGGCTGGTTCATCCATGCGGGACCCTCCACCCCCTCTCTCGGCATCCAATGAGGAGGGCTTTGCAGACAGGACGGGTTCCAGGAAGCAACTTTATTTAGTTTAGTCAGTTTGCTTTAAAAGGATTTCTGCAGAGCAGCAGCTGGGCTTTGGTGGAGGGCTGCAGGCTCTCAGTCACCCCTTGCTTTCCTCCTCACAGCCTGCACCAGCAGCTCTGAGTAGCGCTCCAGCAGGGCCTGCAGGTTTGGGCTGGCCAGGAGACACGGTGCAGATGGGGAAGGCAGTGTCTGGGGTGGCGCCAAGTTAGCTGCCGGCATCCGGTTGCTGGCTTCCAGCTGGCTGCGCATCCACTGGAAGGCGGAGGCCAGCTCAGTCTGCGCCTGCTGCTGCTCGGCACCCAGCCGGTTGCTGGACACCAACTGAAAGGGATGGCAGGCTTGTCAGGGGACATCCAGGTGCCGCCGGGCAGCCCTTCCCCTTCTCCTACACTGCCCTGGGCTCCTCACTCACCATTCGGTAAAGGTCAAGGGCTTCTTGGAAGGCAGTCTGCAGCCTGTGCAAGACTGATCTTACACTGCCCAGCTCAAGGAGTGCTGGAGGCAGGGCGTCAGCTGGAAGCCCAGGCTCCCCACAGTGTCCGGGGCTGCCCGGGGTCACACTTGGCATATCTGGGGGTACACAAGGGTGAATGACCAAGACAGTTTGATTTTCTGGATGGCTTGAGAGAAGCCAGATGGCTGGGCCAATGACTGTTGGCCCTGGACCACTTTCTTCAGTCCCCAAGGCTTCCTCACAGGGTTACCATCCTAAAATTGAAGCTACACTGCTGACCCCCCGCCCCGCCCCCATTTCTCTCAGTAGCCTGTATCACCTTGTGATACGTTTGATGCTTACATTTTGGTATGGGTATCTCCCCTAGCCTATGTGCCCAGGACCCAGAACAAAGCCCAGCATGCGCTCATAACTATGTGAACGAGTGAATGAATGGATGACTGAATGAACGGCACAGCCCCTCTTGAGCTAGGTTGAGTGCGCTACTTGGGAGATGAGTCCGGCAGCACGGGGGATGGGCTCGGGCTCTATCCATGTGCCATGGCAGCACTCACCAGGCGTGGGCTCCAGGAGAGCAGCGGCGCTGCCAGGCACCCTAGACCTGGTCTCTAGAAGTTGGAGGCTGTTGGGATGGCCAGGAGGGGTGAGGGGCCCGGAGGCTGAGGTCCTTGGGGAAAACACAGAGCTGTGGAGTCTCGGGGTGCTAGCATCTACAGGGCTGGGTGCTGGGAAGCTGGCTTCTGTGACTGCCACACCAGGCTGGACATCCCCAGAGTCCCGAGACCACACACACGTGGTGGGTGACTCCAGAGGGGGTGGAGAGAGGAGCTGGCCACAGACCCTGGGTAAGGGCAGTTTGAGGCTGGCTCGGGCCTCATGGTTGCCCCAGGAAGGCATGGCAGGATCTTGACCTTCGATGCTGGAAGTGAGTGTCACTGTGGTGGGGATGGCCTGGGCTTCCTGGCCCAGGGACGCCAGTTCTCCCATGGATAAGGGTTTGTGAAGTGACCTGGACAGCTCAGCTGTCACAGAGCCCTCGCTGTCCCCAAAAGAGATGCTCCGTGACATCTTGGCACGTGAGCTAGTTGTCTCCAGGTAAGAACATGTAGAGGGGGCACAGACACTCTGATCCAGGCCTGGGGCAGATGTGGGTGTTGGAGGCTTCCTGTCTGTGGGTGGCACCGAGGAAGGAGGGACACAGGGGGCCAGGCCTGCGAGGGAAGGAGCTGTAAAGGAATCAGATGGTTCGTCTGCATATAAATGCGTCTCAGAGCCCTGCCCTAGGAATGCTGCCCATGTGAACGGACACTTCCCATAGCTCAGCTGGGCACCCAGGGCCGTTCTTCTGGGATTGGAGACATTTACTTGGTAGATACAAGGCGTCTGGAGTTTCCTCAGCCTTCTGCCCAGAGAGGACCTCCAAGCACAGCTCTGTGGTAAGGACAAGGCCTCCTGGCTTGCAGCCCTGGGTCCTAGGAGTGACCCTAATACTCACATTGGCCCCATCTGAGGACATGTAGCCAGTACCTGCTCTCAGGGAGCCTGCTCTGGGCTGGCCGCATCCTTGTCCTGCAGGCTTGACCTCTGGAGTCTTCATAAGGTGCAGGGGCAGCCGGGGAGGGAAGCTGTGAAGAAGCCAGGCGGGAAAGAGAAGCCCATGTAGCCTGACCCTGGAGTCACGGAGGGGGCGTGGTTCTACCTGGGGCTGGGGAAAAGCGAGCAGGGGCGGGGAGGGGTCACTAGCTTCTACCTGGAGGTCTTCTGGAGGCGGGAGAGAAACCGGGTGGAGATGCTCAGCCGGGGATTGAAGAGGTGGTGGTCAGCCTCTGAGATCTTCATGTCTGCCACCGATCCATGAAAGAACTCTAGGAAGACCCATGGAGCCTCAGAGGCCTGCCCCCACATCTCACATGCCCCAAGTGTGAAGCGCGGGCTCAAACCATCTGTTCGCGCCTTCACCACCCTCCCAGGGGCCATCATGGACCACAAGGGTGCCTGCCTGCTCCCTATTCACCCTCATGGACTGATGGAGGAGGTCCTGTGTTAGGAGCTGCTACACTATGCCCAGCACTGGACACACGATCTGGATGCAAGGTCAGGCCCTACCTTCAGTAGGAGTATCAGTAAGT